GCGTTAAAATAGTCAGCATTTGAGTTTCATTAAGAATGAGAAATACTAGTCTCAAAGCGTAACTGATGCAGTGTTAAGTCAGTAGTCAAGGTAAATCAAGGCCAGTGTCCACAAATTAACTTGTAACTAAACTAGCTAACTGTAGCAAAGCTGTAGGGTGGTAGCTTGTCTTTATTCTTGGGTCAGGTAAACACTGCTTTAGTCCTGCTGCAGTCTAGCCTTAGTTACTGTTGGTTTTGCATATTTTCAAAAAATAAAATGTGTATATGTATTTGTGTATGCACACATATGTACATGGAGCACACTGTTTCACACGTGGCATGCGAAGCAATCATGTCTGCTGTTCATTAGTGTTAGAACACTGCTCTTTGTAACATAAGGCCTTTTTAATTGAATGAAGTGTACTGAATTCCTGCAATTTATAATATGCATAAACTGGAAAGATCTCTTTGCATAAGAATCGAAGTCCGCTAAATATTAATACTTGCTAAATGTGTATAAAGTTACAGCCACACAATTATTGTCATACAGATCAAGGAAGAGTTTCGAAGGTGCATTGCCATTGCACCAGAACCGAGGTTTATGGCCCAGCTGGACAGATTGACCACAAAGATCCTGGAGCTGTTTAGTGCCAAGGGAGGAGCAGTAGGGAAGCCCATAAAAAACTTGTCGATGGACCTGATACAGGTGTGGAAATGTGGTCTTTGAATGTACAGGAACAGAAAAACATATTAATATGCTATACTGTAAGTAGGCTGTTGTAATTCATTGCCTGAGTCAGCAGTTAGGAATAAGTAACAGTTAATAATTAGTTTTAGACCTCTTTAGATGCATCTCATTGTAAAATTGATTAAAAATAAGTTGTGATCCCCACCAGATGTAATTTTTATTTAAGATCAAGCCTGTTGTATTTTCATCAGGAATCTTGCAATTTGCCTTTCAAAGTCAAAAAAAAAACGTTAAACTTTTCTTCTCTGAGACTGTATAGAAGCGAAGGAGCATATAGATGAAATAGGTGTCGATAATTAGATATAGATATTTTTCGTGATCTCTAATTTCGAACATCAGCTCCTCCCAGTGGCGTAAGTAGTAGAAAGGGAGGAGAGAAGGTGTGGAGTGGGTTTAACACAGCCGAGACCTGTTTTCACCAATCACATCAGCTCCTCTCCTCACCTTTAAGTCCGCCACCGGTGAGGCATATTACAATTTTCGTGGAGTAGTCCAAGAGATCAAGAGATGGCTGAAGTCATCTCTGCCACACAATGGCGACAGAAGGCAGCCCCTCAACAAATGTCACTGTAAGCGCTGAGGGCATCCTCCACACTCTCTCAAATAAGCACAGAGGGATTTGGTGTGTGAAAGGTTGTACCCACTGGTAAGACAAACACCCTTTTCCATAAATAAAGACACTCACATAAAGTTGCATATATTTAAACCCTTATGTGACAAAGGTAGGTTGTGTGCACAGATCACAACATAAATTCCAATAATTGCATTAAAGTCTGAACCACCTTGCTCTTTCTTTTATTGATGTTGGCATATAAATTATATATTAGATGAGATATAGATCGGAATATATTGATATAGATCTAATGTATGTGCTGACTCAGATACTTGCAACTGAATATTTGTTGTTGATTATTTATTTCACTGAAATGTGCCTGACACTGTGGATACCTGCCGGTGAGGCATCTGTGACATATGCGCACTACGCCGCCGGTCTACCAAAATACCACTAGACCAGCTGCGCTCAACCTGTGCTGAAAGCTGACCAGGTTTGAATCGGCGAGCTTTCAGCGCACTTTCCTCGCCACTGGCGTGCACGAAAATGTCACTGCGCCAGCTAATTCTGCTGACACCTCCCCCTACTGCGCCACCACGCCCAGCTTGGTGCATCTCGGTGCACCTCAGTCTATGAAAATACCAAACTGGCTGAGCCCTGGGCTCCACCAAACATATATACCACTGCGCGGGGTGCGCTGCCCTTCGCCATGCCGCCGGCAGACACGAAAAATAGAGCACATTATGTTTAACCAACTTAAAATGGCTATAAGTTCACTAAACTTATAAAAAATGATTGGAAAATGTTGCCTCAATTTTTTCAAGTTGCATCTAAGTAACAGTTTTTACAGTGTGGATACATTTGACCTGCTAACCTTTATTGACTGTCTGAGATGATAAATACCCTTTAAATATATTTTTATCATATTATAGGTTATTATAAAAGGCCCTGTGAGACACTTTAGTGGTACATATAGCACTTTTTTATTAATCTTATCTTATTTACTCATTCATTGTTTGTTTGTTTTTTCTCTTGTTCTGCGAAGTCAAATCAGTGATGTAAGGGATGATGTTGAGGGTCAGCTGCTTCTAGTGATAGGAAGAAAAGTTCTTATGTCCTTTCAACGGTTTGGAACTTTTACTCAAGTCGTTCACAGTCTGACTCATTCACAGTCTGTCTGATACATGTGGTTCACAGTCTAACTGATACATGTCGTTCACAGACGTATCGTTCACAGACTGACTGATACATTCGCTGTGAGCAAATCACGAGACTCGCCAGCCTGCTTGCTCGCTGGCTGGCTGTGTGTCATTCGCCAAAGAGTCAAAGGAGGCAGTTCCACTCCCGACCGGCACTCCAGGCTCATGGCTGTGCTCAACTGAACTGCAAAAGAAACGAACCAGGTCTTGGAGTGATTTTATTCATGTCATTCACTCAGTAGCTCCGTTCTTTTGAGCAAAACATTCATGAAAGACACAACACTAGCTTCTTCCTTTGAATTGACGGAGGAATGAACTATCCAGACAAATGTTCAATTACAAAATAATTAATTCCTGCTCCTCTTCTCGCTCTCCTCTCTCCATTGTACATGTTGAAGATAAAGTGTGATTTTTACATAATTAACTTACCAATTAAGAAAACAGAAGTTTTTATTTATTTATTTTATTAATCTATCCATCTATTTATTTATGTATTTATTTGCTTTCTTTGTTTCTTTCCCAAAGTGCATGCAGTTCACCCCTAAAGATCAAACTGGTATCTTCAATGGTCTGAGCTTTGAGTCAACAAACCAGGAGTATTTTCTGAATCATGAAATCAATGTTCTTCATGTGCAGTACAACAAGAGAAGTCAGCATATACCTGTTTATCTCAAATAAGACAAATCAGCTCCTAAACACAGGTTGATTCTTTCCTGAACACTCTCACTGAGATGACATTAACCCCAACCTACATATGTATATTATAGCATCGATACATCTTATCTAAAGGGTAGTGTGTCTTCACATTTTAAAAATCTTTCTACACAGAGGCCACATGAGGGAGGGAAGTTGAAAAAGCTGAAATGTCTCTGTACGAGGTCAGGGTCTCACTGGATGATCTGAAATGTATTTCCGGGAACAAAATTGCCTGTTGTTCACCTTTGGTGATTCCTTTTCCGGTTGCACCATTTTGGAATACGGAATATTGAGAAGGTTTGTTTGACATAATGAAACAATCACAACGTTATGTGGTCTCACCTTCTTACTGCTTTCATATGACAACAGAAACATATTAAAAAAAAAACACGTGGATGATTTCTCTTCAGTTTTCCAACACAAAGCAAAAAAGAAAACTAGCTGGCTATCTAGGTTAGAAGATGGTTGGATGGCAGGTGGAAATGACAATACATTTTTCAGAATAAAAGCTAAAAGGATCATGGAAGTATGCCAGCATGCCAAGAAGGAAAGACTAAGCACAGAATCTACCGACACAAGCTACATAAAGCTCTTTTTAATTTTTTTTTCTTTTTTCTAATTTTCAAATGAACATTAAGGTGCACATCTTACAGTATCAGCCTATTGTCCTTCCAAATTACTATGACATAAATTGACTACCAGAGGTCCCAGGTCCTGGCAAATTACTGTCAATGCAACAAGCCTCGAAATCACTCCGTTTGATCTCATCTTCTCTATTTAACCCTTTGATGCGCAACATGGGTCAAAAAAGACCCGGCTGAATTTAAATTTTATATATCTGTTCAAAAAATTAATTCCATCAGTCGGTACTCAAGGAATTCCTCAATTTACTTGTTTTTGACGACCCTACATCCTTGTGTTAATTTTTCTTTTTTTACTTTTAGAATAAAAACCGTTTTTGTATCACTACCCCTCTAATGCACAACATGGGTCTAAAATGACCCGTATCCATTTTCAATGTTATTTCATGTATGGCTGAGTGTTTCTATGGTATATCTTTGAAATAAATTAATTTTATCATTAACTATTCCAAGTATGCAGTAAAGATCTTGTTTTAGTTGAGCACAAATAATCATTTTTATTTTTCCTTTCTTACGTTATGAGGAAGCACAGATTTTGTATTTCTACATCAAGTTTACATACATGGGTCAGAAATGACCCACATACAGTGACTGTAGCATTTAGCATGAAAAGACCATCTAATACATGTAAGTATGGTTTTTCAATTGTTCTGACATTATCTTAGAAATTATTTGATGACAATTGTGAAATATAATTGTACATAGATTTGATTTGATTAGGTTTAGGTTACCTTGACAGTGAGGACATTACATGTTGGAAAGTTACACAGTTACAGGTAAAACAGCTAGCGTTATTTCAGCTAGCTATAATCAGACGCATGTGTATGTGACAAAATGACAAATAAACATGTTGCTAATACAAAATACAAAAGTGTTTGGCCCATAGACTGTATAAAGAATGGACAGCGTCTGCCTCCTAGCTGGGTGAAGCCGAGAACAGCACCGCCTGTTTACAGGCTGCAGTATAGGTCATAAATCCCGCCTCCGCCAGCAAAGCTTATGGGACTGTGGACAAACTTTAGAAATTTATTACACAGAACATAAATTTTTCTCCCCCCTGCTTGTGATGTTGACATGTAGTTATTGTAAGACTGGTTTGTGCTCAAGTCCTCTTTTTTCTGTACAGCTCTGTTTTTAAAAGTTATTAGGGGTTCATGTTTTCTATGATTGACACCTGCCATAGACTGTATATAGAATGGACAGAGTCTGCCTCCTCGCTGGGTGAAGCCACTCCGAGAACAGCACCCTCTGTTGATGGGCTGCAGTATAGGTCATAAATCCCGCCTCCGCCAGCAAAGATTATGGAGCTGTGGACAAACTTAAAAAATGTATTACACAGAACATACATTTTTATCCCTCCTGATTGTGATGTTGACATGTAGTTACTGTCAGACTGGTTTGTGCCCAAGTCCTCTTTTTTTCTGTGAAGCTCCATTTTTAAAAGTTATTAGGGGTTCATGTTTGCTATGATTGACACCTGATACAGCCTATGGGCGTTCAGGGATTGCGTAGCTCTCCCAGGGGATATGCTGTTTGAGCCGAGTGTCATCATAGCGACTCTCTTCAACTGTGCGGCCAAATGCGCGCATTGCTACTGCGCAGCGCTGGTTTCAGGAAATGAAGAAAAATCCTGGAAATATCGAGAGCTATTTGGCTTCAAATCTGTATACAGGCAGTAGGCGGAACAAAGTTGTCCATAGTATATACAGTCTATGGATACAGCCTATGGGCATTCAGGGATTGCGTAGCTCTCCTGGGGTGATACGCTGTTTGAGCCGAGCGTCATCACAGCGACTCTCAGCGACTGCGCGGCCGAATGCACGCATCGCAACTGCGCAGCTCTGGTTTCAGAAATGTAGAAAAGTCCCGGAAATACAGAGAGCTTTTTGGCTCCAAATCCGTATACAGGCGGTAGGCGGAACCAAGTTGTCCATGGTATATACAGTCTATGGTTTGGCCCCACTCACTGCTAATTTCATTACTTGAAACAAATTATTAATATAGTGTTAGGTAATTCAATATTAAATCACACTTGGATGAATGGGTCGTTTTTGACCCATGTGTGTAAACCTGATGTAATAATATAGAAACTATATTATTTCATAAAGTATGAAAAGAAAAATAGAAATAATGATCAGTGGTGATCAAAAACAAGATATTTAAAGAATACTTGGAATATTCAATCAGAAAATAAACTTATTTCAAAAGATAGAACAAAGAAAAACTCAGCCAGCATGAAATACCATTGGAAATGAATGCGGGTCTTTTAGAGGGGGTGTGGATATGTTGCGCATCAAAGGGTTAACATGTTGTTCATGCTGTAACACCTGCAACTCTGGGATTTTTCAAGCTGTGATGACTATTATAAGGAGTGACCACTCAGACAGTAAGGTGGTTATCACACTTTTTTTAAATGTATTTATTTATTTCATTTTTATTTATTGATTTTTTTAATAATTCAATTAAAGTCAATTCAGTGGAAGTGTTACTGTTGAAGCTGCAACTGGTTCATTGCAAACTAACCAGCTTACAGTCTATACAGCAAAAATCAAAAGATTTAGATTCTTTTAGTAAAGCTGTAAGTGCAAAAATATCAAAACTGAGTATTTACGTGTCTGGTTAAATCAATTCTCCACCTTTTGACACTTCCCTCAGGCAGTTTTCAAACTCCTCTGTTTCCCTCTGTGACCCGCAGAAGGAGCAGAAATGCAGCATTCATCTGCACAGACTCTATGGTGGTTAACTGACACCTTAAATTTCTGCTAAGGCTAACAAAAGGAGACATCTGGTGCATATTTTACCCTTATTTCTTCCTTTTTTCCCATTGAAACAGTTTTTGGTGAAATGAATGCATCAGGAAAATTGAAAACTGAACTGTCATTTTGTTCTGAATTGTTCCAATCTCACAGAATAAAGACAGAAATGAAGACTAACTTGTTCTGGTGTAAAGCTTTTAAAAGGAGAAAGAAACTGGGAAGGCTTGTCTTTGTTAGTACTGTATGTGAAGCTTTCCAATTACTCTTTGATGAAAAACAATCTTTGTGATCCTTCTTCAGTGTCATCCTGACAAAGACGGATCGTTTCTTTCTAACCTTCACAAATCAAAAGTTCATAAACACAAGTTTGATGAAAGTGAAGATTGATTTGGTATTTTTACGTCTACTTTAAAAACAAATCAAAGTCATCCAAAACAAATTTTTACCATCTGTCCTAGAAACCATGGGCCCCCCCCCCCCCCCATTTTGAAAATGGAGGTTTCAAAAAAATGTCATGTGTGGGACTTATCTATGCATTCCTGTTGCACTGTACTATACTGAATCACAAGGTTTTGACTTGGTTCAAACACAGGTGGTTTTTCAGGAGCAGCTTTTAATTTTCTGTAAACTATGCTGAGTTTGACAAAGTATGGCATCACTTATCCTAAGGTGACCCATGTAATGTGTTATATGTCATCTCCTGAAGTCCCTACCATCACAGTACTATCTGAAAGTCTTGTACAGTTTATCATCTTGTTCTCTTTTTCTTCCCTAAATTAGGTCTTTGGGGAACTGTTAACTACCATTTATTATAGTTTTGACCATTTTCATGACTTTGTTTATATAATATGGACGAGATGTTGGCTTGTGTTCCCCCAGTAAGACTGGTGAAGTATTAAAGTTGTCCATTCATTTCCAGACTTTTTTCTTTCTTTTTTTTCTGTGGGTTTGTGGCAGCAGGAGGTCCTGATTTGTCTGCAAAAAAGTCCTGAGCGGGTTGGAAACACACAAACTTCATGTTTATTTTATAGAGCTAAACGTCTTATTTATAAATATGCGCAGTCCAATGCAATGCTGCAACTTTGCAACAATAAGCTGTTCATTGGGAGATAACAATTTTAGAATTTTTCTTCGTTACCCACTGTTATAACACTGGGTGAAAAGCCATGAAAAAGTGAACTTCCCCTATTGAGTGATATTTTTATTTATGGGAAAAGCTCTTCTAAAGAAAAACAGAAGTAAATTTGAAGACACAGATTATTTAAGCAAACTTAGAGTCAACATGCATGCAGATAAACCTCAAGCTTAAGTGAAAATCTAACAAAAATTGGAGAAAAGACAAAGGATAAAAAGACACATTTTGTGGCGTTGTAGGGGAAAAAAGAGGCACAGAGCTACAGATGTGTTTGTGCTTTTATGTCATGGGGAAAATATGCTCCACTCAACCTAAAAAATGGACGTACGGTGGACGCACAATCAATGTTTTTTTTCAAGAATTAAGAGGATGAGGCTCAGATTAGCTGAAATCAGAAAAGCAGATTGGTAAAAGTGTAAAGGGTTACAAAGAAAGCTAGCACTGTGATGTGGGGGTGTCACAATTCTGCAAATCCTCGATTTGATTTAATTTTTGATTTTAGGGTCACAATTCGATTCTTTTTCTTTTTCTTACAGCACAGAGGGCTATGTCATTTTTAGACTAGTCTAGACTACGATCATTGGTTTTATTCATTACATTTTGTACAATAAATCTTATTTCAAAAGATGGGCTACATACAAGTGATGCACTTTCCATTATTCTTGTAAAATGTATCACATTAAGCAATCAGAATGCCCTTTATTGTTATCATGCTGAAAGTACAACAAGATTGGAGATTTATGTAATAATCTTGTTTTCAGTAAAGTGAAAACAAAAACAAGCATAATAACAATAAAAATAAAAACTCACAGAACTTTCATCGGCTACAATGTGCAGCGTCATCATTTGCTTCCGCTTACACCTCCTGGATGTGGAGGGAGAGGATGGTCGATCCTCTCTTTGATTTCGATTATCAAGACCATGATGTAATTTTGATCGATTTTGATAAAAATTCAAAATGGTGACACCCCTACTGTAATGGCAGTTATGTGCGCACCCACACTTGGCTCAGTTTTACCTGTAACCATGCCAAAGTAGAAGACACATGCATGTAATATCAGCCTATTATACCCTTCTTTCAAAAGAGGCTCTGTGAACAAACACAGAAAACATGTTTGCAACTTTACTGTCACAGAGTTGACTTTCCTGTCAGTTTTCAAAGCTGTGTCAAACTTTATTGCCATCTATAAAGCTATTACCCACAGCACAGTCCTCCTCGTTCCTCGTTGTAAACCAGCGTGGTGTGATCCATATCCTGATCAGTTAGCAGAGGATCGTGATCATGCCTTTCTCAAGCTTTTGAGAGCAACACTGACAGCTTAAAAGTGCCATATCAGACTGTTTTCTCTTTACCACAGTGTTTGACATGTAGATTTTGAGTAAAAGTCAAGAAATCAGCTGCTTCAAACTGAACTTTGGGGGTAAAACATGTCTGAGTGCAGTATGGGTTGCTTGGTGTGAGTGTGCCTCTGGAAGCAGTTTCTGCAACACTTGCCAAGACCAGAGCTCCGTTCATGTATGCTAATTATTTTTCCTAAATACAAGCCTGCTCAAAATGAACTTACAAAAACTACAAATAAAAGCCAACCATAGCTGACAGCAAAGACTTGTCTCTCTATTCTTCATACTAAAATTCATATTCAGATGTTTGTTGATAAGAAGACCATGCTGGTTCACCTGTGGTTTGTGAGGAAGAGATAAGCATTGATTTGATTCCCTGAAAAAATGCCTGCACATTGTTTCACATGCTAAAAATACATCTTATGGCTGATAGTAGATTCTCAACACTTCAGGGTCATATTTAACTGTGATGGTAGAGATGCAAATGAAGGTCGAATATTTTGAGCAGAGAGCAGCATGAAGAGGCACCATTCTAACGCTCAGTATCAGAATTTTGATGCTTATGGTGATTTGGCTTTAAAACCTCTGGGTGTAGAAGGACTGCAGTGCAGAGGAGTCACTGAGTGCATCTTGGAGGCAGCAGAAAAGGCCTCCTGGTGGTTGTGGATCTGGAAGGGTAGTCTGTGGAAAAAGGGAAGCCACTTGGACACCTGTGGAGGACTAATCACCCCCGACTGGGTCGGCTGAGTGAGGGTGACTGATGAAAAAGACCTGAACACACTCTCTGACCCTGAGTTCAACGTTGATGAGGTGTCCAAGTCACATAAAAAGGAGTGCAGATATTCAAAATGAAAAAGAGATACAAAGAAAGAATCGTCATATAAATCCAATAGAAGTTCCTTCCTACACGTGTTGTAAAAAAGCTCTGAAGATGGCTTCCACCTGAAAATAATCCTGAATTGGTCTGATGAAACCTGATCATTTCACAGTGTCAGAGCAGTATAAGCTCTTTATGAGGGAGATCTTCTCAGGCAGATCTACTGTATGTTCGGTGGTGTTCACCTTGTTCTTGAACCTTCCTTCATATGAAATAGTTATTGGTGCTCAAACTGGCCCTGCCACAAGGAGATTTTTACCTGTGGTTTCGCCTGCTCCATCTACAAAGAGCCGTCTCGGTGTTTGATCACTTCCTGATGAAAAACGAATGTTTTCACAGCGCACCAGGCCAGATTAGGACTTCCAGCATGATCAAATATGCTTTGATTAATAAAAAGGTTGTGAAATCAACTGAAAATCAACTGTAAATACACACTCACTCGAGTGGCTCCTGGCAGTCAGCAAGCAGAATGTACGAGTGCACGCGTGTGTGTGTGTGTGTGTGTGTGTGTGCGTGCGTGCGTGTGTGTGTGTGCTGTCATGCTGAGAAGCAGCAGGCAAATATTTCACACTGAGAAGTAAATATTCACTTAGAGATAAGATCGGGAGCACCTTTCTCTCTTTCTTCTGCCTCTTTGTCCGGCACTCATCCCTCTCTTTCTTCCCTCTGAGTAAATATATATGTACATATCAATCTCTCTCCCTCTCTGGGTGCAGGTATACTCCACTGACTACACACTGCACTGCTTATCTCCACTGAGCAGGCTGCGCAGTCAGAGCCTGTGTGTGTGTGAGCAGATAGAGGCAGGAGCAGTGGATTGTGGACAGCAGGGTTTTGACTGGGCTTTTCTTTTTGCTACAAGAGGGATTCAACTCACACACACACACACACACACACACACACACACACACACACACACACACACACACATTTTGGAGCTTACACATCACAGAGGGGGACATTTTTGGGGGAGGAGAAGGGGTCGCTTAAGATGTGGCGCACAGTTGAGAGTCGAGTGGCTTGTCTTTAAAAGAAACAGTGCTAAACAGATTTTTATCAGGTGGAATTTGCAGCAGGAGGGCCCAAACTTAAAGGACTAGTCCCCCAAAAAATAGAGCTTTGTGAGGTGCTGGAAGTTTCTGCAGAACATGAGTAGAGTACTGCATGTTGAGGTCAAATAAGGCTGGAATAAGTTTTTTTTTTTTTTTTTTTTTGACAAAAGTTAATAGACAATAGACAACAAACAAAACAAAAAACAAACAAACCAAAGCTTAATATATCAGCGTTACAATAATGTCCTACATTCCCCACAATTGTTTAGCAAACCTTCAGATTCATACTGTGAAGATCACATTCAATAAAATGTCAAGTAAGATTTTCAAGTAGCGATGCACAAACATTATGGTCAAAATATCTCCTCTTAGCAGATAACTGCGAAAAAGTTATTATCTAGGGCATTAATGGCCAATCAGTCTACAGCGTGTGCTCTGTGTACTGAGGTTAGAGCCTACCCAAGGGTTTGATTCTGGTCTGTGGCTCCTTTCCTGTTCCTTTTTCCTGCTTTTTCACTGTCCTGTCCTTTCCATTAAAAACACAAACAGACAGAAAATAAAGAAGAAAATTGAAATCATACTAACAAATTGAGAAGAGATGAGACATCAAATAACGTGCACACAATGACTACCTGCAGAAGTGTTGGTCGTATGGAAATATTCAAGTGTTAGAGACAGACAGCAAATACATTAAGATTTGTTAAAATCAACCATCAGTCATGGTAAAAATCAAATATTGTCTATCTTAAATGTTGCCAGAGTTATCAAACAGTCAGAATGAGTGTAGTACATTCTCCTACAGGGAAAACGTTGAGTATGCTTATCCATAACCTGTCTAAATGAGTTTGAAAAAATCGGCATATTGAAAATTTAATGGTAGTCCAATTTTAAAAGCATTTGATCACTTTTCACAATTATGGCACATGGAAAAAGACAGATAAAAACAAAGAGCTCAGTAAAAAATGTCATAAGGAACCCAGACAATACAAGAACCATACAACATAAAATGAGACCGTGAGGACCAAAATAAAAACAAAAAATAGTTAAGAAAAAAGGAAAATGCAATCAAAAGGGAGAACGAAAGCGGAAACAGGATAGTAAATATAAGAGGCAATATCAGCAATGATAATAAAATAATAAAAGGTAATACTGATAATAAACGTAATGATAAAATAGAGTAACAGAAATGAGCAAGAGATATAACAATAAAAGGCCTTCAAGGTTAATTAAGTAAAGAGTACAAGTATGGCAAAAGCTAAAATTACACTAAGGCTGAAATAAGATAGCGGTAAAAGAGATAAGAGATGACAGATAAAAGATAGAGATAAAAGATGCTGTTTTTTAACCCTATAAATACCTCTGTCCCCTACCCTTCTGCATTCCAGGGTCTTGCAGAGTGGGGCAGACACATGCAAACATAATAAAAATTAGACTGATGCTTTAAAACAGTAGAAAAGAAATAAATGTAGTTGACTTATTTACGCAACTATAATTATGATTTATAGTATTGGGGTTCTGTATGGGAGCTCATCTGGCTCAAATGTTAAAGATGTTTTTAGTTGTCCTTTTTGCCCTCTTTTATGAGTTGTATTTAGGTTTAAATTGATTGATTGAAGTAATTGTGCTCTGAATTTAAACATAATACCGCACTACCGCAAAACATGTACTTTAACAAAACTTAGCGTGCACACACACACATACACAAAAAACCTTTACTTTAAAGCTGGTAAAAGTATGATTGCCCGGTAACTGCCAGTAACTGCTGTAACTGGTGGGTCGAAAGTTAATTTTGGGTCCTGTAATGCAAAGGCAACAATACGAATGTTGGAACTGAGATTTACTGATCATTTAGGTGTGTGAAGCTATGTGGGAAATTGGTTACTCATATCATAACAAGTTCATGTAGTTTGTTGTTTCTCTTTGTAACACAGTAAAAAGAAGGAAAAAGTAAATCTGGCCCATGTATGACCTGCCTTCACTTCATAGTACCTTTTTTCATCCTTTATTTTCAACACCACTCATGAAGAGACTGAAACCTTTATTGTAATGACTAACAAGTATCATGCGTCAAACTGAAATCTCTTTATGCCTCAGCCCTCTTTGTCTGAGAGCTTCCCAGTAAATCAGACTTAAATGATCCTCATGTTCTCTGATGTTTTCTCTTATCGCCACCAGGAGGGGGACAGAGAGAGAAGTGGGAGACAGACTCCAATGATCTCTCTGGAGAAATCCCTCTGTCTAGATGTAAATGTGTCAGAGTGAGTCTCAGAGAACAGGAAAAAAGGCTACCTCTACAACATCCAGGAAGTGAACCAACACTGAACTGCTCTTAAACTGGCCTCCCTTGAGCTTCTGAGCCAGGAGTCTAAAGACTGGTGAACCACTAAAACCTGGGAAGGTCCCAGACCCTGTGCACAGGGATGAAATAATTTAGAAAAGTAGTTAATTCTCTGAATTTGAAGCCTGGATGTCACATGTAAGCTGAGTAAGTGGTCACAAGTTCTTCTCATGTTGACTGCAAAATGAAAGTTTGGAGAGGTGCTGACAAACCTATGGAAACTCTTTTAAATGTGCTGTGTATGTGCAAGCATGGTGGGCCACCAGTTTGGATCTGCTTGGTACTATTTAGTTTAAATGCATGATTATGAGGAGACCAAGCTTCACTTATCACTATACTGCAGCAGGTACATGCAAATATTGTTGACCCTTTCTTTTCTGTCATCCGGACAGAAGATTATATCTATTTTTGAAAACAGAGAAAAAGCATGTTCAGAAGCCAGAGTCTGTTTATCGTTCTGCATTGAGATTTATAACAGGTGACCCCCTATGGCACTCATCATTGCATTCTTTACCCTGGGGCTGGATAGTCCTCTCTGAAGTGTGAGAACTACCTCATGTACAAAGCTTTAACCGGGAACCTTTCACCATACCTCACTGATCTTTTTTATTAGACGTCAAACCAGTTCCTGGAGTTCAATCTGAACTTGGACAGACAGCTCCCTGTTTCTCAGAACTTAAATCCTGAAGCAACTTCTTGGCATAAATTAACTCTAACCTTTTATCCATTTTACAAAAATCTGATTTTGAGCCTCCGTGACAACAGCTTTACATGAGTGTACTTACAAATAAAAAGATAAAAAGTGTATTTGAGATTCCCACGTTGAAGAAATCTGCAGAGGTCAACACAAACATCAATGTAATATGTGACCCTAACTGCAGACAAACCACCTTCTCTATCAAAGCAAGTGCACACAGAATCACAGGAACACACACACACACACACACACACACACACACACACACACACACACACACACACACACACACACAAAGAAAACCTTTCACCTTTCATACCTCACTTAGACAGGCAGTTCCTTATTTTTTGTTTTATTTCTTCGCAGGCTGCACAACAGTCGACTGCATTTATATGTGCAATAGAATGAAGGATTTTTCTTGAAATCTTGAGCGACAGAGGTTAAAGAATTTAGCAGCAAAAATAACAAGTGTGTAGCTGTGAAACACTCGAAAAACTCCAATGTCAGCCCATGTATTTGTCACGTTAAAAGACTTGGAGATCTTTGGGTTAGTCAGATTAGTCTGCTTGTTACAATCCCGCCTTAAAGACCTTTGACATAAACTTAAACAAGATGCATATTTTGACTTGTTGGATCAATGTGGCACGGTTAAGTCTACTGAGATTCTTTGGATTGGAAAAAAAGACTCATGCTTGTGCTTAAATTTGAGTGTTTGCAGTGTTGTTCTCACTTGTTACAATGTCATTTCTTTCAGATCACTTGAAAAATCTAGCCTGGCTACTAAAGGGATGCAGTGTTCATTAAAAGCGCATGACCCCTGACCTCTACTGTGTTTCTGCGTGCAGATGCTGAATCAGGAAAAATCTCTACAGATGGAAGCTTGTCAGATTTGTGTGGACATTGTTGAACAAAGCTTCCTCTTTCGAGGCATGTGAGTGTTCACCACTTTGGACTCCACTTGGAGATTTTCCTAAATTCCCATTCCCCGTAGTTACTCCCTTGTTTGCAAGAGAAAACTTTGCAGCCAGCGGAGGGAGCTTTGTGAGCCAGTCAGGCTGTGATAAGCTATTTAAGAAGCCATTTATATTTCATTTCAATCAGAGCAAATCCACTCTAATTAAAAACAATTCATTGTAAACTACTCAACCTTTACGGGCGACTTCCCATTCCCAATAATCAGGTGAAGTCATTAATGAGCGACTGCTAGCGCTTAATTTCCTTCCCCACAAAGTCCACTCTCTTTTTGCATTTTTATTTCCTTCAGTAAGAACGCGGCAAAAACGATAAGAGAAGTTGCCGGAGAACAAAACCTTTAACACTTGGAGTAATTACTTCTCTTTGTGTCTTTCTTTTAAATTAATTTTAATTACAGGCGTCAGCGTTGCCTGTAAATGTCCACTCTCTGCTAATCTAAAGTAATGTGACTGCTAATGAAGAGGGAATTGAATGCGTGGAGCTGAGTGGCCTTTTGGCTGCAAGTCACTCCCCTGCTGGCTCGCTTACACAGTGGTCAAGGATACGTGGGCAGGTGGATGCACACACACACACACACACACACACACACACACACACACACACACACACACACACACACAGGAGCTTAAAACACTCTGGTTCCCACATAAAAACACACTTTCTGTATGATTAGTGTTAATAAGTTCATACAGTCACGCAGAGAGTGAATGTTAATAATTAACAAAGTAGTAAATCCTCTCAGGAACATTTGGCTTTGGTCAGCTCCAGCACATGTTTTCATTCGGAAAGCAACATGTCTGAGCAGAGGCATCGTGCTGACTCAGTTCAACCTTGATGATAAATTCACTCAGATACTTTTACTTGCCTTTTGGGCAGCTTCTGTGTGATAAAATCTACTTTCTACAACTTTTCATTGAGGTTTAATGATTGACCAAAACCAAGACTGGGTGGTCCTGATTTTCATGCCATCAGGCAGCACTGCATTAAAAACAAACAGGAAAAAATAAAATAAAATAAAATAAAATAATATATATATATATATATATATATATATATATATATATATATATATATATATATATATATATATATATATATATATTGTCATATGTGGAATCTCAATTGTTATCTTTTTTTTTATTCTTAAACTGCCAGTTTTAAAGCATCTGTACTAAAAACTAAAGAAACTAGAGATTACATCAACATTTTATTAACATACAAAGTAAATAACTAAGCAAATTGAATAAGATAAACTTAGAGAATATAAAAACTATTTTAACTCAACAGTACAACAAATGTAGATGAATACTAAATAATACAGTGAACTAGTTTACAGTCTTGAGTGTTTTTTTGCAGGTATGCAAGACCCAAAATTAATAAATCGCCCCCTCAGGGATAGTGAAGACGCCTTAAAATGTAAACATTAAATGATGTAGATGTAGGTGATACAATTGATTGCTGCTTTGGTCTGGTAGCTGCATCACTAGTTGTCGCTAAACTGCTAATGCTACCTGTGCCTTCAGCAGTGGCAGGCTGTGCAGACTCTGCTCATATTTTCATGCTTTCAGCATAATCACTCAGGAAGTAGTTCTTCAGATAATTAAACAGATTTGTTGTGTTGCCAGTTTTTGAGGGCACTGATGTACCTTGTACATCGGCTTCATTGCCCAACGTCACTTTGGACATACCCAAACCACTGCTACACAACAAACGTTGGGTAACTTTTCTTCTCAACAATGGCATCTTTGGAAGATGACTCATAGTCATGGCTGACATCTTTTTGCTGCCCTCAGGTCTGCGTTTAGCTCCATGTTCAGTCATTTTGTTTACTTCTCCAGTAACTAACAGAAGTGAGCAGGAAAAGCTGGACTCTGATTGGCTGTTGTGACGCACATTTCCACTATGTTTGATCAAGTAATATGCTCACAGTTGATCACTGTGATCGAACTAAAATTTGTCACGATCATTAATCACAATCAGATAATCACCCACTCCTACTTTTGAAGTGGAAATTACTGCATGGGCTCAAAATCACTTCAAAAACCATTATCTGAACACAGTTCATCACTGCATCTACAAATTCTGAGCTATTACATAAGGAACATATTTCAGCAAGACAATGACAAACCACATTATGACAACAGGGATTACAACAGCATGGCTCTGTAGTAGAAGAGTCCCACTGAGAAACTGGACTGATGCAGTCCTGACTTGTCCCCCATTGAAAACATTTGGAGCATCATGACACCAAAAATAAGGGGCAATCTAAGCTCTATGAAGAATGTTCAGCTGTATTACTCTACTTATGACTGATTTTGAGGTTTTTTTTCATGTCAGGCCAAATTTTTTCTAACTCTGCAAGAGTAAAATTCACCCCTAAATCAGGTTCCCATTGTGACTGTCTTTGAGTTTGGGTCTTGGGAGGAAATAACCAGCAACTTCTATAAACCTGAGACTGCTCCTCTGTTTGATGACTAAAGTCTGATCATTTTGTGTCAAAATTATAATCAAAATATTATTTGGGAAATTTAGAAACAATTGACTTTAACTGGGAATCCTGTATAAAAACTCTTGTATTCAAATTAGGGCAGAATCTCTCTGTCCCCTACAATCGGAGAAACTTCTTTGACACTGTGAACACGAAATTGTTATTCTCCTTCACAAGCTGTTCCTCTAGCCAGTCCAAACTTTGCCTCTCCTCTCTTTATCGCCACAAACCTGGCATTAGATGCACAATTATACAAATAAACATCAGAGATTCTAAGACCCTCCTTGTCTCTTGGTGGGTATCTTTTTTTGTTTGTTTTGTTGTTGTTTTTTTTGTTTTGTTTTTTGTTTGTTTGTTTGTTTTGTTCAATTAATTTAAGACCTTTTGTTGTTCACCATAAAGACAGAGGCAGAGCAGACCATCTTTTAAGGTCTCCCTTGTTATGTTATTCAAAATAAATTTTGCATTTAAGTTGAAAATTTCATAGGTACTCTAATTTTTATTCCCCAAATATTTTATAGCTTCTGATCTTCTAACAAATGGAGCAGATCCAAGATATGTAAAATGTGTAAGCATGTTAAGAGGCATGGATTCACTTTAGTAACCAGAAAGGCCACCAAATAAGTGAATCATTTATAAAACTCTCAGTATAGAGTGTGAGGGTTTGGACAAAGTCAACAAAATGTCATTTGCATACATATTTAATTTGAATTCAGCAGCACCAATCAAAATTCCTGTATTTTCTTTGTCTTGTTGGACAGCACATGCCAACAGTTGTAAGGCTAAAATATTGAGTAAAGGGGATAGGTGAAAACCTTGTCTGGTAGAACACCACAGTTGAAAGAGAGCTGAAATCATGCCATTGCTCTTTATTGCTGAGACAGGTTCCTGAAATAGTGCTTTAATCCACTGTAAGCACCTTGGACCAAAACTGTATCTGGAGGACGTCTTCAACAGGTATGACCACTCAATTAGATCCAAAGCTTTCTCAGCATCCAGCGATAATGCTACCACTGGAATATAAATCTGCTGGTAGGCAACTTTCCAACAACTACTAAGCCTGAAAAACACTGGACTTTTGTCATTCCAACTACAGGTGCTAGTAGCTTCTCAAACTTATGACGATGATATGCAAAAATAGATTTAATAACACCCATATTTCTGTACTGAGCTACTCAGTAACTGAATGCAGTTAAATTTTCAACAACTTTACCAAAACAAGACTGAGGAAAATGCTTTAGTCCAAGGGATGAGAAGGAGTACCATCTCTCACCGTCAGTTCCTCTTCCAAATTTATCTGGAGTCTGACAGAAATTTCCAAAGTCACATTGAATCAATATGTTCCCCAGCATTTCAGCATTGAAAAGCAAAGCTATAATCAGATGGATGATGTCAAAGTAAGACCTTGAGAGGCATGTTTTTATTTCTAGTAGATTGGATTTCTGCATTGGTCTGTTCACAGGACTGTATAAACAAATTGTTCTGCAACTACAACTTCTTCGAGATGCTGCTGCAAGAGTCAGAAATGAAAAAAAGAACAGGACTACACCTTTCCAGTTTTTAAGTGTCTGAATGCAGACTATGACATTTCCTCTGTGAAAAGATGTCTGTGGCTTCAAACATCTCTTACCTTCTAGTGACATGTGAACCTTTGAAGACCCTGAGAACCTCTGGGATCATCTAAATTGTTCAAATAACTGTTAGAAAAGCCCCAGACTCTGACCATATTTAAGCCTACACTAGAAATTTGAATACAAACCTTGAACCAAATACTTAAACTTAATCTGGTTACTTCAAACAATTCACGTCCTATTAGTACTCTCTGACAGCTTTAACTACAACATTTAGGTGTATTTTTTGTTGTTGTTGTTGTTGTTTTTTAATCCTAGTCTTTACTATAATTATTTTGTTGTTGTTTTTACATTTCTGTCTTATTGGGCTGAATTAAGACCACAGGAAAAGCTTTAAATAAATGTATTATTTGGGGATGTTAGGTGTCTACAACAAAGACCTGAGTGCTTCAAATGAGGAAAAACAAACCTTTTAACGTAACAAGAAAAATGTACTCCCTACTTATCTTTGGTGTCATCCATTTTGTATTCATTTTTTCTTATTTCATTAAGCCTGAAAAGTGATTCAGGTCTATTCCTGGGTGATCTTGGTGAATCTAATAAGACACTTTTTGACTTGAAGTAAGACAAAAACACTGGCTTAGAGTAAAATTTTTTGAAGCATTAAAATGAATTCAGATTTTTTGTTGATGATTTAAATTCATAACTCACATTTTTAACCTTACTTTATTTTATTTTGTTGATCCTTTGTTTTATCGCTCTGTTCAGGACTTTGAATAACCTTGTTGTGTAAAAACCAACAACTTTTACATGTATGTTTTATCACAGTCTTTCCAGCATTTGTATCTTTTGATTTGTTCCATCAATAGTTACCATAAATACTACTGCACTATGACTGACAAATCCGAATGAAGCTCTGTGGCTTCAACGCGTCATATAAGAAACATTTCTGAGGTAAACGTTAAAATAAAAATGTTGGAAATGATAGAGATGAACTCCAGTTTCAGAGTCAACAAACACAACACAAGTCATCAAAGAGTGCAAGTTAAATATTGAGCTGATCATTGACTTAGTAATTATTTAAGTGCATCTAAGGCATCTTTTTTCCTCACAAATTACTCCTCTTTAAACCAAAATGTCAGACAAAAGAGAAGGTTCAAAGAAATGTTTGGATTATTATTATTATTATTTTTTTGAATAAAGCTCTTAAACTGGAAGGTTGGCAGATTTATGGCTACTATTGTCACACTGAAAAAGAAACTGCAAATAATGTTAAACTACCACAACATGCTCTAAATATCCTGTGCAAAGCTGAATCTCCGAAGTTTATCTACAGCGCGCATTGCTATTAAACTGAGAAGAACAGCATGTTGTGCTCCAGGTTTTAAATGCAATATGACCAAATTTCCCTCTTGTAGCAAGACCAAGTTAAATCTGTGCTTGATTCTTCAGACAAAAAAGGCTGCCTCCGTCCGCTCCAGTCAACTTTGTAAATTAAACTGATTTCTGATTCTGTGCAGAGCTGAATGTAAAAGTTTATTTGGTGGCTTTGATTTTGTTTAACTTAACAAAGCAAGAACACTGAGTTTACTTTGGACTACAAATGCTATGTCACAACATATAAACCTAGAAATGCAGAGCAACATTTCCTATTGTGGCAAAAATATTGAATCAATCTGTCCCTCCATTTTTGTTGGCTCATTTCTGTTAAAGCTTTGCATTCTATCAAAAGTTGCACGAAAAGGAGAGTAGAAAGAATACCACAAGTGATGCATGTTTATGGCAACAGTGACACTGCTGCAACTCTGGTGACAAAGAACCACACTCACAGTTGATCACCACTCCAGTGTCAATATACAACCACCATGTTTTACATGGCGAGCTATGATTGGTTACTTGAATCACTGCAATGCAACACAGAGAGAAGAAAATAGGTCATTGCTCTACTTTCTGAACTGAGACTGGAGTGAGAAACGTGTCCAGGCCTCGCCACAAATATGAGAATGTGAGATGAAAGGTCAGTGAGAGTTTGTGAAGTGAAGATTTCACCAGTAAATGTGGAAGTCGTGGAACCAAAAACTGGGATCTCAGACTCAAACTAAAGGTGCAGAGAAGAAGCATGGGTAAATGAACAAGAGCTGAAGATTTACATCTAAATATGGCGGCTAATGGCCATGAAAACTAAACCATCTACATGAAAATAAAGTCACCGGTCACAATGGTAGAGTATCCCTCTCCTTTTCCCCAAAGCCCACAAACACTCAAGCAGATTGCTTTATGATGCACGGTTTGGCAAACAACTTCAAGAACCAACTGTAAAATCACAAAGGAGTTGAGGTTCAGATTCAGATTCAAAGGTTCACATTTTTTTTGCATGTGGAGGAAGTCCAATTGTCATTTTTAATGCCAGAGAACTTGGAAAATCAGAATAAGTTGGCATGTTTTGGATAACTCTGTTCTCCTATCACTGTTAGGAAAAAAAAAATCTCCACTGATTTCAAATTCACACTTTCATTCATTGAATTCTTGTGAATACAGCATAACTTTCAGCTCCAGCCAAAATGGCCAAGGGATGATTTCAAATGATTGCGATGTGGATAACAACAAAACCAGAGTGATTTAACTACCAGAGAGCCTCCAAAACATCTGCGAGATCATAGCATGTAATCACTGCAGCCTGAGACATTCGGGGACCTGTTTGAATAACCAGAATGACAGTTGGACACAAAATTTAGAGCAAATTCTGGTGAACACAACAGTCAAAACATGGTGACTTAAGCAGTGTTCAGGTACTGAAACCACAGAAATCAAGAGGAAGAGGACACATGATGAAGACACTGTGGGAATAATGAGACAGTATAGTCTGATGGTAGCAGGTGGAATCTGAGGGCCTTCTCACTGAATGATTTCTCCAACAACAACAAGAGCGCGTTGAAGTGATGAAGACGTCAATGACACTCCTCAGTGTTGAAGAGTCCTCAACATCCACTTAATAACAAGTGTTTATTGAGCTCAGAAGAGCTCCAACCAGTAGAATAAAAGTGATCTTCTACTGCAGCACCTGTTGACTGAATGGATTTTTTACACCTGCTGTAATTCACAGAGGAAACTTTTGCACCTGTCTGTTTCCAGATACACAACCTGCTCCCCAAATATGCTTGTTCTATTTTACACCAGAGACAGACTGTCAGTGAGGGTCTGACACATACAAGATTTGAAAGAGGATAGAAAGAAAAAGAAGATTGTTAGATGCAAAATAGCGGCATTTACAAGCAGAGATTCAAATCTGAAAAATTAGGATTCAAGACTAAATATATCAGATAACAAATCTGCAGGAGAAGCGGCAGTCAGCTGCTGCACTCTGTTACCAACACACACACATACACATACACACACACACACACACACACACACACATCCTGCGGCAACAACACGCTCGTACCTCCTTGGTGCTTCAACTCGCAGCAATCCTCCCATCCGCCATTTTGTTAGAACACAGAAGAGGTACAAAAATATCCCAAAATGTCTGCCACGCTACATGAACTCAAGGAAAAGGAACCCAAAACAAACTCCACATCTGAACAAAAACACAGACATACATCCACGTGTGTGAGCGAATACATCAAAAGGATCCTTCCAGATCATTATGACCTGCAGTGAACTCGCTCAAAGACTCGTCGTCTGCAGGATCTGTGAGGTGATTTTATCAGGAGACTTGATGAGCTTTGTGCAAACTCATCCCTTGGGTTGTGGTGCCGAGGGTCCATAATAATGTCATCTCTCTCTCTCTCTCTCTCTCTCTCTCTGTCTTCATCTTTTCAGAGATTTGTGTGTGTGATAGAGGCCTCAGTGAGAGACCAAGCGCTAACCTTTACTGCATTGGCTCACACTTAATCCCCTCACCCTGCGGTGACTGGTGTTGGCGCACGCACGCACGCACACACTTGTACTTCTTAAGACCCTGCCCATGCATACCCCCTCTGCTCCCCTCTCTTACAATAAAAACACAGTCACACCCTTGCTGACTTAGGCCCGACTGTTTATGATCACTGAGATGATTTGTCACCAAATCAAGTGTTTGAACAAGAGTAATAATAACTCCTGTGGTCCAGTCCAGAGGACTCTTTGTGGGTATTTGCTTGAACCTGATGAATCTGACTCTATATGAATTTCTTTGTCCATTTACATGAATACATTCTGCAAAGGAATATAAATTCAAACATCCAATGGTGAACTGTATCAGAGTGTAATCTCAGAGTTTTCCATAATCTCATCAGCAATCTGCCTGAGTAATCACATTGGATGAGACTCAGCCTTTTTATGACCCTGCTTTTGACCCCTGGCCTTTTTATCTTTGATCTTCAGTGTTTCCCAAAGGTAGCTCTTCCCACATGTAATGTCTCAGTGTCAGGCCATGTCTCTTTAACAATATATCTTAAATTCTCACACTTTGTGCGCTTGTGTGTGTGTGTCTTTGAGTGTGTGGGTCCATGGGTGGGAGGGTTGGGTTTTATTGTTGTTAATTGTAGTTTTTAGCCTCTGTAAGGCATTTTAAACTGCATTTTTTGTTTGAAAGGTGCCATAAAAAATAAAGTTGAATTTGTATTTGTATTTGAAAGGACCAAGCATTGATATTCTCCAGCCTTTCAAGAATCCAGCTGTGCCCCTAAAAACACCCAACTTATAAGGACCCTAGCCTTAGTAGGACCCAGTTTATTAAGAACCAAACTTTTGAAGGTCCTGACTTCTGAAGGACTTAGCCTTTAAAAGACCCAATTTTTGAAGGAGACAGCTTACAAAGGACCCAGCTCTTCAATGACTCAAACTTTAAAAGGCCCATCTTATGAAGTGTCCAGCTTATGAAGGAGTCAGCCTATGAAGGACCTTGGCTCTTGAAGAAGAACTTGGCTCTTGAAGGCAATGGTTTCAACAGACCACGTTTTTGAATGACCCAGCATATGTAGGATCCAGCTTTTTAAGGTCCCACTTTGTAAAGGACCTTGCATTGAAAGGACCCAGTCTTCCAAAGACTTGGCTTTTGAAGGACCATACCTCTGAAAGACTCGGCTTCAATCAACTGCACTGAAAGATTAAGCCAAATCAAAATACAGCAGTCTGGTCGATGATGGATTGTGGGCTGTTACTTCATCAGCTGTTCCCACCAATCACAAAGCACCAAACAACATCACCAACATCTGAAAGTTGTTTTTAGTCCCAGTGTGTCCCAGTCTCACATGTCTATTGGTGCATTATGAAGCAGTTTGAGGATCCTCCACGGCCCAGGAAAAGTTGGACACATTTGTTGGAGGAACCTTTGAAATGGGAAAACCTTTGAAATGTGGTCTCCCATTGCAGCCTCTGAATTGGTATAAAGCTTCAGTATCACACTGTTTCAGCCAGGTTTCCAGAATACCTGTGATCAACATGACAGCAGACATTCTGAACTGATCAAACTGGTGACACCATATTAACTGCAGGCCTCTGAGTTTTACTGTTTTATGTGAAGCTTAGACAGACGGACAAATTTAGATGATAAAAAGGGCAGGTCAGACCAGTGTCAAAACCTCGCTGTTTTCATCTAAACCATGACATAAAAAATGACAAAATGAAAACTCTGGGGCTTCATATTCTTTCTAATACTTACGCTGCTTGATGGACTGTTGTGTGAAAGTAATATCACACACGGGTCTGTAGCATGAGGCTGCGCACTGATATTCAGAGCATTCACAGCTTGACCTTGAGTGTAGTTTTTGCCTCGCACAGTTCGATCAAACAATTCATGCTTATGCTGTGAACCATTTCTTGCAGCATTTTCATGTCTTGAAAAAGTGAGCGCTGCATGGCAAAGTGGACGCAGAGACCTGAGATTCTGCAGCCTAAATAGAGCCCAAACTGGGGGTGTGTTTGCATGTGATTCTGAGAATGATGTACATCTGGAGGCTGGTCATATCAATGACTGAACTAGCTCCCAGACTTTGAACCTAGTTCAAGTGTGTTTTAATATATTTTATGGTTGACACAATGTTTCTAAAATTGACAAAACAATGCTGTTATATGCAAAAATCTTGATTTAACTTGAGGTTCACTGTGTCTTTCTTATTGTCGATGGGCTTGTATGAGTTACATGCCACTGTTAGGGTAATAGCTACAATGCATTTGAGTCAGTTCTGCCACTTTAGGGAGAAACTGCGGCAAGTTTTCTGCAAAGGGGGCCAAAGACAAAGTGTATGCACTGCAGAGAAATTTTTCATAACTTGATTTTGCCATGGCAAAGCTTGTTTTTGCAGTTTTCACAAATGTAACACACATTGGTGTCTTTCTGCATGCAGCATGATCAAATAAGGAGATCTTTGATGTGTAACTCACTGATATGATATGACTGATTGATAATGAGCTTTGCCCCAGATTACCAAACTGTAGCATATTTTGCGTCTTGCTTCTGCCCTAAGTTTCTCATTCTGGCTGAGCCAATCCACTCGTATCATGTAACTCAAACAAGCCAACTCAAAAAGCATGGAATATCCCTTTAAGAAACAACAGATTCATAAAACAGCAGTGAAGCAGCCCAAATGAGCGTCTGTTGGACACAGATTTATCAAACATGAGCTCAGGAGGTCCAGCAGGTACCAATAAGAGCTGCAGGTGTTGGGCAGGTTGTGCACCATGTGTTCAAACCTCTTCTGCATTTACCCATGCTCTGTTCACCACAAATACAGAGCTGATTGGAGAGTGAGCATACGGTTAAAGCGCAGACACAGCGAGTTTTTGCCAGACTGAAGAAGTTTCTGATGGTTTCATGAGTTCTGTTTGATTTTATATCCTCATTAACCAGTCAATGTGTTAATTCAACAATGCACCCTACTGACGTCTCACCATTTTTTCTTCATGTGGAACTCATCAAACAGGGTGACATGTCCTTGTTTTCAACCTTTGGCACCATGCTTTATGGTACGTCCTGCTACAAACCAACAAACATCCTCAAACAGAAGCTTTAGCTGTCAGAACCGAACCAAACACACGCGCACTCCTGCACACACACACACACACACACACACACACACACACACACACACACACACACACACACACACACACACACACACACACACACACACACAAACACAAATCTCAGAGGGTAGCAGTGATGACATTGTCTCTTACTAAGCAACAATGCTAGCCACTGCTGGAAGCTCAGACATGAAAATACACACACTGGCTCATACACTCACATGTGCACACACAAACACCCCCAAAACTGATACACAAATACACAACTGCACACACGCACGCACACACACACACACACACACACACACACACACACACACACTCCTTGATATCCTCTATAGGAGGGTGGGTTTAGCGGGTAGGGAGCCAGACCCCTCTGTGGAGCTTTGGATTATGGGATAGCAGCGTGATGCAAGGAAAAGAAGAAAGGAGGGAGGTGTGAGGGGCGAAGGGAGGAAGGAGTCGTTGGTGGAAAAGGAAGGAAATTGAGGGAATGAAAGCAGGTGACAAGGACGAGGAGAGACAAAAGGAAAGCTTTAGGGTGAAGGAGGGAAGTGGAGAAAATACAGAAAACAAGGAAAGAAATTAAAGATGAAAGAAGAATGCATGAGAATACTGAAAAGGAGAGGATGAGAAGAACAAACTGAAGTTAATGGAGGGAGGAAAGGTAGGGTGCGGAGGGAGAAAGAGAGAAAGAGAGGAATAAACTGAAATTGACTTACATGTGCTGTTTTCCTTTTCTTCACTTCAGAAGCTGGTGATTCAAAGATGGAGGAGCTGCAGGGTAAGGAGAAAGGAGGAGAGAGGAGTCAGCTAGGGTCACTCCTATTTCAGGGCAGACATTTCCAGGAAAAAAGTCGAGTGAAATGTGTGCTGAATAATTTAAGTATTTATTTATCTGACCTGGTTTCATTTCTTAAAGAAGAAGAAAAAAGATAAAAACAGAAAGTAGTAGGTCTGCAGCTTCACAGAGAAACCTGATTTTCTGTGACAAAAATGATGATTCAAGATTTTAAAGGTTTGAATATTTGAGGATGAGGAGGAGCTCTAAGGAAATAAAACAACAACAAAAAAAACAATTATTTAAAAGGAGTGCAAGCTCCACAATGTGACGTATGCTGAGAGGCCTCACATTTACACACTCATACACACACACACACACACACACACACACACACACACACACACACACACACACACACACACACACACGCACACACACGTACACACACACATGGTTCATAGATAAACAGTCACTGTTTATTGCTGTAACATCCCACCATCTCTGCACAGTTTGCAAATGTGCACTTAAACTATGCATGAGCATGATATGACACTGTGTGTGTGTGAGTGAGGGAGAGAGAGAGAAAGAGAGAGAGAGAGAGTGTGTGTGTGTGTGTGTGTGTGTGTGTGTGTGTGTACGCATGTTCGTTTGCATTTCTGTGGTATAGTCGAGCAGACACAGTCCTGCCACCAATAGCTCTCTAGCGCCATCTACTGATCTAGAGACCAAGGGAAAGCGAGTGGAAACTTCTACAGCAGCACTAAAACTTACCAGATACACCAGTTGGTGAAAATGTGGCAAACTTACAATTTTTATCGTCAGGCAAGAAGGTTGAAAAAGAGACATAATATGTCTTTAAAAAACAATGCACATAAATGTTTGTGCCTGTACAAAGTATGTATGATTTCAGCCTGAGGAATTACAGAACAGAAACTAAAGATGTGGAGAGAAGAGGAATAAAAACAGCTGAAATGAAGAAAATGAGGCAAAAAAGAAAAGAGTCGAAACTTAAATGAAACACAGAGAGGATAAGCTGTTTTCTGATTGAATGCATCTTTAAAATTAAAGTGTAGACGAGTCAAAAACCCACATTTTCTCAAGTGAAAGTGTGTTCAGTTAAAAAAAAAAATGCATATCAAACTGAAACTTCAGTGTAAAAAAACAAAACAAATTGTTAATCCAAAGAGAGGTGAGCTTTAATTTCTCTCATATCATAAACATTAAATAGCAAAAAAAGCAGAAAATAATTTTGCTGTGTACTATTTGGACAATATTTCACATCAAAGTCTCGGAATCTGCCTTTTGTGATGGCTGTGTCTGGTAGCTTAACCTTACATTCAACACTCACTGTAAACATGTCAATGTTTTATCCTAATCTTCAGTTAAGGAGTAACTATGTCTGGTAGCGTTACCTTACATACATGAAGGAAACAAAAACATGAAAATTATATATATATATTTTTAATATTTAGTCTCTGCACAGTTTAGTCATATCTTGAATATTTGCAGTTTACACAAAAACTCACTCAACTCACTGTACATGTGAGAGTTTATCATTTCAATTGATAAAAATCCTCTTTCCATCTTAATATCACAGTGTCAAAGTGTCAGAAATCCACACTTACGTCTATGCACATAAAAAAATACAAATAAATGAAAACAGGAAGAAAATGCATGAATTACACTACGTCACTGCACGTACAAGTCATATGAATAATAATTCTTATTCTTATGACAGTATGAAATTATAAAATCTGACTCACTGTAAGTATGTTAGGATCATTTCATCTCTCTCTCCATTGTCACGTTTTTTTCGTTGATGTAACAGTGTGAAAATGACAGAAACCCACACTTTGAATGGGACCATCTTATGCTGCACCTTATTTCATATGCATGTATGAAAACAAAATTTTCAGTAAAGAAATGCAAAGCATGAAAAATTGTTGTAAAATGCATCCAGCTGAAAGTACGCTGTCATTAATTGAAAAAAAAAAAAACTTTTGTCAAGCATAAACTTACAAGCAAAACTCTGCATAAGAAATGTAAATGCACCACAGAACAATGGCTGTGTAGTTTGTTTTACTGCACAGTGTGTGCACTTTTCAGTCATAATGTGACTAATCAGAAGCTCCCACACATCTACACAAAATGACTAATTGAAAATACACTTTAATATATTATTCAAAACTGTATCTATATATGCAAACATTTTTTCTTGTAGACACAGCAGTGTTAATGTGTCAGAAATGTGATGCTGCTATTGTATTTCATGGTACAAACTTAGATGCTTTTGTAGGAAAGTAAAAGCTTATAAATTAAAAAAAAAATGTAAATAAAAATAAAATAAAATAAACGACTGCATGGCCAAAATCTCTCTGAAATCCCTCCAATTATTTTTTTGGGCTGCAGAGTGATTGCACAAACAAGCTGCCTCATGATGATGATACAGTTCACATTAACACAGCAAGAAGGATTTATTCTTTTTATTTGAGTGTATTTAAAGTACATACATTTCTGTATGCATGTTAATATTTTTTCATGTCAATATTGATGGTGCAAAAGTGTCAAAAATGCATTATGTGATGTTGGAACAGTGACCAAGCACAGATTTTCATGCATTTACAAATAAAACATTTGAAATGCACTGGAGGGGATGTGCAGCATCATTTTTTCCACGCACTGTCTGCACATTTCAGTTAAACAATGAATGATGTTTAGTTTACATAAAAGCTGTGTAAAAAAAAAAAAGAAATGAGGTCCACTGTAAATGTCTTTGTATTAAACAGGTGAAACTCTATTTATTTCATTTACTTCAGGAAAATTATGAAATTGAACAAGACATATTTGTGTCTTTATTCAGAACAAAAACTTTAATTTGTTTTCTTATGTATAAATGTAACATTTCCACTCAGGCATAAAGTTCTTCTTATCTTATCTTAGAGAACAGCTGTGAATCCTGCATGTGCAAGAAAGAAAGGTGACATTTCATTTGTTTAATGTAGAGCTCATCTGATCACCATATGCACTGTGTTAGAGTACATGGTGTGCATTCAAATTTATCAAATTTTGCATTTCTAACATATTTTAATATATTTTATTTTTTAATTGTATTTTTCTTTGGCAACATTTTCATCACAGAATACCATGCCAGTACAGCCAATGAAGCCATCGGAGCTGAAGACACTGAACTGGATTCACCAAAACATCAAAATTCTCTTTTTGCCAGAACGGCAGCAGCGAATTTAACCAAGTTACACAGAACGTAAACACATCATCAGCTGAAGCATCTACAGTCTGATATTTATCAGTCAGACACTTTTGCAGACATACAGAGTTGTGTCCGAGACTGCACTGGGGAAAGAATGAAAATGTCTGATGATTTGCGAACACTCACTCATGCACACACACACACACACACACACTTATTCAATACTTCAGTTTGAGAAATTCAGAATTAGCGGAGCATGTGAGGTAACAGTGCAGTGAAGACAGCATGCGCACGGCTGCTCATAAGGGTGGGTTTGATTTCTGTCCTAACCTGCAAAATACTTTCCCTCAGGATTATCCTCTACCCCTATTTTCATACCTCATGTTATTGTGCTGTACTGGCATATTATTCTGGGCCTTGTCTCCACCTCTGTACCAAATTGAGTCCTGTCTCTTTGTCGTGTTTGAGGATCAGGACTCTATCCCTCCTTAGCTCTCTCTTCTCCGTCTTTTAAATGCACTTTCAAATTATCTCCAGGGTCTGAGGACAGTGTCATCTGTTGTGCAGATTGTAAAGCCCTCAGCGACAATTTTTAATTTTTGGCTGTAAAAATAAAACTGACTTAACTCTATCTCACAGTCATAATTATTATAGCTGCGAGGTGCAGAGCGTGGACCGGGCCCCAGACTCATTTAGTCTTGGAGAGGGCAAAATATAAACTAAATATTCTGATTTAAATTAGATTAAACAGGAATATTTAGTTGGCATTTTCTTATCTCTAAACTTCATGAGGCTAAAACCCTGCAGAGCCTCTCTGGCAGCAAACACGATAAAAATGACTTGATTTCTTTAAAACTATTTGAGGGTGTGGAAATGTGTTGACAGCTCATTTTTTAGCATTATTGTTTGTTTTGTTTTCATTAAGGAGTCTGTTATTTTGGGATGCATTATGATGGCAAATGAAAATAATAAGAGTCCTGATCCTCAGACCCTGAGCAGCACTTCTAATGATGCATAGTGAAGTACAAAGTTTTAATGAGTTCAGCAGCTTTAATCGGACTCTGCTTCAGGCTGCAGAGTAAAAGAGAGCGCTACCTCAAAATTCATGCTTCCTCTTTAAATTTCCTCCATGCATCTCAATGTTTGAGCAGATTTAAAGCATTGCAAAGACTTCAAAATGAGCATTGTAAATCTCAAACATGATCTTATTCTTAAATCTCCCGCAGGAGATTTCAATTAGACTCAAGAGCTGAAGATCGAGGAGTAAATACTCAGCTGTTTGTGTGGTAAACTAATGAATCCCAGGGTAAGCAGATGGATTTTCTTTCTCTTTTTTTTTAATCAGAGAAGGAAAAATAATGAGCATTCGTAAACTAACTGTAAAATTACAAAATTAGTGCCAGAGATAAGAATAAAAATGTTGTAGATGCATTTGAAAGCATTCAACAGCCAACTACATCCATGTGAGATGATGACCAGTTTGAATTTGTGTAAATCCTGTTTTTCTGCAGTGAGATGAGATGAAGAGGAGTCTCATTAAAGGTGAGAGGAAGTTCTCTGATGAGGATCAGCCGGAGTGAACTGGAGATTTAACCTTGTCAGACAAAACTATCACACATGCCTTTATAGTTTTTTCTCAATTGCTCAAACACATTTCTTGACACCCACCATGCTTTTCTCAACATTATGAGCACAAAACAGGATTTTCAAACTACATTTACCAACCTCTGACTCTGTCTGCTAAACCAAACAATGTAGTCAGATCATACTCCAAGTCAATCTAAACTAAAAACACTACTGAGCAGTCATTACACAGGACACAATGCTTAGGACATGAAGGTGTAGATACGATTGTTCACAGTAGGCTAAAGGAATTTTGAAAAAAAATAATAATAATTATATTAATCCTCTGTGAATTTAGTAACTGTACACAGTATGAATGGAGTAAAACAATTGAGAAGCACAATTAAAGTGTAAACCACATGATCAAAATTGGATGTTTACAGTTTCTACAATCGTTCAGCCACATCATCATATCTTTCTCCTGGATCAGGCCATAGGAGTCCATCCACATCACAGACCACCTTCTCCATGGCGGGGTCACGTGGAAAAACCCTCTGAAGTGGCTCATCTTGGTTTTCTCATATCATTAGCCAAAACTGTGATCAACTTTGAGTTATGTTTAAGCTGTGACACTTGTACTTCAACTGTGTTTAACTTTTCCTACCTGTGCTTACCATTATGTAACACAAGTGTATCACTGTGTTTTAGTGAGTGAGAATGTGTTTTTTAAAATCGTGTCTAACCAGGAGAAAAGTGCTTATGGTTTTACCAAGAGAGTGACGGATTCAATCAGTGGGTTCAGGCCACCGAACCTTTGGTCCAGACAATAGGGTTTAGTGTTTGGGCAACTGAGGAATACTGTAAATACTCAGCTGAATTTTCTGTCTGTATACATCTTCTGTTAATCTCACATCTGAGTGCCTCCTTCTCATAAACAAACATTCAGGTTTGATGCTCTTCATTTTACAACTCATACACGAGATAAAAATCTGCTAATTCTACTCTTTTCAACCACCGGGAGTGTCTGAACCACGACTCTAAATAAAAGGCTATTACTTTCCGGATGCACTGTATATATATGTATCCATCCTTTGGTCAATAACTGCAGACCACATGAGTGTGCATTCCTAAACATAACAGAATTTACAGCATTCACCCGTAAAAAGTGCTTCCAAACCTCAAACATGCCTCTTTTCTTCTCCCTTTATTTCCAGCCTGATATTTCAGTTTGATGCACTCGCTTCTGCAGGAATTTGTGATTAGTTTTATTTATTCTAAATACAATAACACACATTTATTTAAGGAACAAAATAATCTGTAGGTTTGAAAATTATAGTCATAGTCCTGCTGCACCAGCATGATGTTAAAACAAAGAATTAGAAACTGAGATCTGGCATCTCACACCTCCTCCCTCAACTCCCGCTTCTGCACCCCGTCTGCTCTTTCTGTTCCCTACCAAGGCCCTCCAGTTGGCAGGTGACAGCTGGCTGGATAGGCCCCTTAGCTGGCTCCTGGATGTCCTGGGAGGAGGGGATGTTGCAGTGAGGTGATGGGAAGAATCGAGGAAGATTCCCCCAGCTCCCCTCACCCCAACCCCGCCTAATGGTGTGAAGCGAGCCCCTTCACTCCCGCCGCTCTACAAGCATCAAAAGTGAGGACAGAAAGGCAGTGAGGAGCCTGTTCTCAGTTCCACTCTACTACACAGGTGCAGGGTGTGAGCCCACAAAGTTTACAATGAGCACACACACACACACACACACACACACACACACACACACACACACACACACACACACACACACACACACACACACACACACACACACACACACGACTGCCACCTCTTGACAAGAACACAGTAGATGCTCGGCATGAGTTTTAACTCCTCTGAGGGAAACACGTTGCACTGCAGAGGTTACGTGTTTGATGCAACTAAGAGTGTGTTTGCAGTGTTGTGCATGTGTGTGTGTGTTTTCTGTATGAGTGTATGGGTCCCTTGGAGCAGGACAAGTTTGTGATGACAGAAGTTTAATCCCTGCGGTTTTTCTGGGTTTGAGTTTAAACAAGTCGAAGCAGACTCGACCCCCTCTTACAAGTCTTTACTGGAGTGGAACTGCTGTCAAATAAAACTCTGTCCCCAAAACACACACACACACACACACACACACACACACACACACACACACACACACACACACACACACACACACACAGAGGAAGGAAGCCTGTGGCGGCGTCCCCTCCTGCTGGGAGAACTTTCTGTGGGTGAATGCAAGGCTTAGAGCGGCGTCAGGCCGAAGGCGGCGCTGATATTGGCCTTTGATAAAAAATCAGTTTGGTCCAGCCGCTGTGGTCCGGCTCTGATATGATGAAGGTTCCTGCCTGACCACAGATATTCATTTCTTTCTTATTATTTTTATATCAGATGTCAGAGCAAAATGAAATCCAGTGTGTGTGTGTGTGTGTGTGTGTGTGCGAGTGCAAGAGGGTTCAACACTGCTCCGCAGATGGATCTGCAGCACGCCACTCGTATGTTCTTCACGCCAACCCTTTCTAATTTAGAGACATATTTAGAGTGGATGAGACTTCAATGTGATTCATGTCTGATGACGAAAAACAGTGATGAAGAGAAGTGCAGAGAGAAAGAAAGTGTGTGTGTGCAGAGTTTTGGGGCAATGGAAACTGTGAAACACATTCAGCTTTTGTGTAGCAAACCAGCTATTGTTCTTAAGTATACAGTTTTGCAAAGTATGACGTTCGTTTACATGAGTTTATTGTGAATAAAATATTAGAATTGTTTTTAGGTCTGATATTACTACAAGTCCTCACTCCAGAAGCTGCCATGTTGCACAGCCAGGTTTGAATGAATTTGTATAAATCAAAATTTTTATCCCAAAAACTTGACAAATCAGACCAATCATCAATCACAGGAACGTGAATCAGAGTTGACATCTCAAAAATGAGACCAGGACAGGTGAGGGCAGAAAATCTGGGTTAACATGAGTGTTTCCTTTGTCAAGGAAAATCCTAAAGACAGATTCCTGTTTGAAGAACGGCTCTGAAGTGATCAGTTTTCTGCTGGACAGTAAGACACAGTTTATTCTCTCAAAGGTTCATTAGTTTACAGAGAAATTAAGCTGAATGATCTCAGAGCTGCAGTCAGAGATCCTGCTGATGTTTCCTCGGAACGGTCAGAGTTAACTATGAGGGGACGTCCTGACTCATCATCAAATCTCATCATTTATGTCTTTACTCCATTGAGAGAAACCCCACTCACTGTGCTTGAACTAACTACAGTAATCAGAGTGAACCGACGAGCAGCTGTGTTAAAGTCATGGTCTACCATTTGGAAGCTTGGTACTTATTAATAACATCGTTTATAAGGCCGTTATGGTCCTATGGTATGATCTACGCAATATAAAGATCAAAATGAACGTAAAAAATCCATTCAGGATATCCGCTGCAAAAAGGCATAATAATTGACCAATCTGAACTGCCGTACCCCGGTGGTTTGGAGTGGTCCGTGAGTCCATCCAATCCCCTGTCTCCCCTGCTCCGCACCGTCCCGCCCATGGTCCCGCCTCCTTCCCACTACCCCCCTCACGTATATGATTTGCGAGCTGCACAGCTGCTAAAGCGTAATAAAGCCGGAAAAGACAAACACTGAAACCAGGAGGCTGCTTCTGTTACCCTCCACGTCGGAGGGGAGGAAACATAAAAGTTTTGAGGAAAAGGCTGAAGTAAGGAAGAAATATGAGCGATACAGGTGCCAACCGAGAGTCTACATTGGAGAAGCGTATGACCGGCGTTGTGCTGTAGAATGCACCCCTGCCGTAGAATGCATCCCTTCATCCCATCCACTCATTAGCTTTTTAAAGTGGAGGCAAATTATCTCATTTTAAAAAAAGAAAACACAAGTATTGGATCATGACAGCATGTCAAATGGAGCACCAAACTTTCGTTCTGTTTTTATGTAGCTCAAAAATGCACATATAGAGGTGTACTTGGGTGTATACTGTACAGTAAACTGTCAATTTAGAGAACATTATAATTTTGGGACAGCAAATATTCCGAATCAGAGGGCTATTTTTTCGGCTTATCTGAATAGCCTGAATGAAATCATTAAAGGCACATGCTTTTGAATCCATCCAACGGTAAGGAAAACTTGGATTCATTCGCCTTGTTATGTACTTTCAACCGCGCTCGCATCAGGGGGTGCATTCTACAGCAAGGGTGCATTCTACAGCACAACACCTGTGGAAAAAGCTGCAGAAGGATTTGGGACTGAAAATTGACGCTGAGACATCCGAATTTCTGTTGAACAGGTAATTACTTAGTTTACTACAGTGGAAGATGTCTGCTGAATAACTCTGGTTAGTCTGTGCCTATACTGGCCTAATGAGTGAACGTTGTTGGTCGGAACGGGTAGGCTCTGTCAATAGATTTTAACATAAGTTAGCCACGCATCTTTAGCATTGTAAACTGAGCTGGTGAAGACACGCCGAGAAAGGTAAAGCCTCGCCCACAATCGGCTCTGCTCTGACCTGAAAAAGCCTGAGTACATCCCTGCATCTCAGGTTTACAGCAATACCTGGTTAACAACGCAAAGAGAAAGGATGTGGGAAAATATGCAAGGTAAAAAACAAAACAAAAAAAAACCCTGAGTCTGAAGAATCATGTCTCATCTCGAAGAAATGGTTGATGACACTATAGACGGAGATATTACTGCTCCTCAACATTTTCGTTTAAAGAGGATATTCAGACATCATCCCTGGATCATTATGAATACATTTATATCTACTTACAAGTTTTATCACCTCCCAGTCTCTCTATAAAGGTCTTTACGTGCAAAATAAAAAAAAACATATGTAAAAAGTGTGATTACATTTCAAAAAGATGACGCAATTTAATGCAACCTTGTCCTTGACTCCCTTTGTGCTTTTAAGCTGCAGAGATTCATTTCCTGGTGAAAATAAGATCAAATCAACTATTTTTTCAGGGCACATTCTGCCTTATTTTGTCTTATTTGGTGTGTCTTGGTATGTTTCAGAAATCAGTTTCTCATTTTAGGAAAAAAAAAAGAGTTTCAGCAGAGAAACAAGTGTTTCCATTAGCCGGTGAAAGGCTGACTGTAGTGCTGATATGAGAGCAGCTGGAGACAACAATAAAATCCCAAACAGGAACAAGATACTGACCCGCTATAACAAAGGAACACACACATTTGTGCTCACACACACATACACAGAGCAGAAGTGTGTGTGTCAGGCTGCAGCTGGACCTTTGGCCTGCTGTGGTTGTGATAATACTGCCCCCTAGAGGCAGACACAAACTGGATTTTCACACATTTATGAAGGCCATTGAAGGTTCACTAGACTCAGTATGTGAGATAAATTAACCGTGATAATGCAGGGTGATGATTGGAAAAATAAATGTCTTTGTAATGAAGTGACAGACACACCTGATATTTTTAAATGTCGAAGAAGTTTGGAGAGCACTCAGATTTTTAGTCATATTAAGTGTCCCCCCCTTATTTAATTTTTTTTTTAATTGTTATTATTATTATTTTTAAATTAGACCTCACTTAAAGTTTTACTGTTGAGGAGCCACTTACAGGTTATTATTTTGACATTGAAAGAGTTAATCATGGATTTCCATCTTTCATGATTTCAATATGGCACAAATTTAGGGCGACAAAGTGCCTGTTTGTGTGTGTGTGTGTGTGTGTGCAATAAACAAAAACAGAGGGTTGACTGCAGTGACTAAACAGTGCATTTACTGACTTTGTTGATAAGTCCCTGGTTTTCCTAAACCAACTGGTCTCACTGCAGATCTTGGTATTTTTCTGAAATTGGAGGGGGGTAACACCCTTATAAACTGTATATGGTTAAAAATGTTCTCTACTAATTATTTGTTTTTTTTTTTTCTGTAGGAGTCAGAGAAATTAGTTTGCATTGTTGCGGAGAAAGACACTACCTTTTTTACAATCATAAGACGAAAGTGTGGTGGCCCTGAGGGGCAACAGGGAAATATTAAATGACAGCGAGGAAAACATTTTAAATCTGCTGCAAAACATGTCGTCAGCAACATATTTTGTGAATATGCTGCAAAAAACATTGAAGTCACTGCATATGTCTTTGATGTGTAACAAACATTTATCTATTATTTATATATATATATATATATATATATATATATATATATATATATATATTTTTTTTTTTTTTTTTTTTTTTTTGCTGCAAATTATAACAAATTCCAGCTGCTGCATGTTCTTTCACCTGTTATTGAAAATATTTCAGACACCGGAAAGGGTGGGATGTTGAATTCTCTTTTTGTCACTGCCCAACATATTTATTAATAGTCTTGCATCATGTCATGGACCACAGCGGCTGGACCAAACTTAGCACAATGCAGTCATACTTAGAAGAGCTTCGACTAAGAAGATGGGGTTTAGTCATCAGCAAGTTATTGGTGGTAACCTAAGAGACTAGGAACTGAAATGTTTTTTGCATCACATAACACACACACACACACACACACACATCTATCTATCTATCTATCTATCTATCTATCTATCTATCTATCTATCTATCTATCTATCTATCTATCTATATATATATATATATATATATATATATATAATGTAGCAAGTTGAGTTTTTTTGTGCAGCAGGTGGAAAACAATATGGACCCTTTTTGCAGCAGCATATGTTGCTACTTGCACTGACTTTGCAGCATATTGTTTCAGGGTGTCCAAGCTTCAGTGAAGTGAACCCACACTCCAGCTGAAGCAGCTCATAAACACTTCAGCTCAATAATGATTATTTCTGCTCAATGCAGAATGTCCTAACTCTCACCTGACCCCTGTCCCTTCAGCCTGTGACTCTATAGATGTAGATAGATAGACCAGCTCCTGAGTGACCGAGACATAATGGACTCATGCAGCAAGGGTGATTTGATCCTATAATCAACATGACTCCTCCTCCTCCTCCTCTTCCCCGTCTGTGCCTGAGCTCGCTGTAATGACTTCTCTTAATTTCTCAGGGGAGGAACAGTAATAAGTGATCATTGACAAAAGGATTTCTACGAAGATGTTCACATTATCTCTGCCTGGCTCACCACATTTGTCTGTCCCATTGTCGGTCTGTCTTTGTCTGTATGAGACAGAAACCTGTGTATATATTCATGTTTTTATTGATATTTGCAAAAAAAAAAAAATTAAGAAGGCAGAAAACAGCAAAACATACCAAAAAACATGCAAAAAAATATCAAAATGTGAGAATGAGATTTGTATGGTGACCTTTTAACTGAGTTTAGAGGTCAGCTTCAGACCTACAGGGTGATTTTTCATAACCCACAATAAACACACAAAAAAAATAGATACTTCATTTTCAATGTGCTGAAGACACGTCTGTTACATTTTAGTTTCTGCAGCAAATATTCATACTAAAAAAAAAAATCCAGTATTCTATCATGCACATGAGTATATAAGAGCTCTGGTCGTTTGTTGTAGAGCTCAGACATTGAGATATGGCTGCAGATAGGACCATCTTTGCTGTGCTAAATGGCTTATTTGAAGCAGAAATCCTCTACCTAAAAATCTTCAGCGTGATTGTAACCTACAGTAAATGTTGGAGCTACATTTTTGTTTGTAATTGGTAAATTGAGTTTTTGTCAACTTTGTTGTTATATTGTTTTTATAACTACTGCCATTTCCTGCTAAGTTTAACTTGATTTTGAAGTGGCTTTAGTAATACAGTAATTATAGTTATTCATATTTGTGTTCTGGAGCTTAATCTTGCTGCCTGAAAGCCATTTCATTTTTAATATGACTTTTTTCTCAAAAAATTGTCCAATTAGGTTTAATCATTTACCTGTCAAGCCAAAAAATGAGTTATAAACTCCAGAGATACAAACTTAATTTATTCTTAATATATTGATAATTAATATTAATTTTTTTGTATTGTGACTTTATATTAGTTACATTTATGAAAAATCAAAAGTATGTCAGTAAAACAGGACAAAAAAAATCTTGCCAAAATCTTGCCAAATGATGATCACAACTATGATCCACGCTTCAAATAAGTACAAACAAAACACTTGGTGTTAACGAAGATATATTACAAATATTTCCTCCGTTAATGTGGTAAAGCGTCCGCTGTCACCACTCGTACTGATCGCAGTCAGCGTGAATGAAATCAAACCGCAGATCGCAGCTATCCATTTCAGCGGACTAAGGGACTTTATACTCCTCATTGTTCTCATCACTGATCGATGGATTTGGGATATTTTGCAAATAAAGGGCCATAAACACAGTAAGAAACAGACAAAATGGTCATAGAGATGCTTTAATAATACATGGCACGGAGGCAGAATCACTGCAGTCTCTGTCCGTGTTAACCTGTGACTGAATGCAGATGTCAGCGGTGTGTCAGGTGTGCTGGTCCTTTTACTCACTCACTTACAAGCATGGAGACGTGGACTCTCCACATTTGATCTTCAGTGGACTAAAAATATTCTAATTTCTAAGTCATCTGCAGGCTTCTGTTGCACAATGTATTCAAGTATCCCATCTCAATGACTGAGAATATGTTTATTCTTATTTGTTGAGGAGCACCTGTACTGTATGCTGTTAGCTTGCTTCTGTGCAGCTCACAGCTCGAACACTGCAGCAGTATGCCTCAATGTTGAATTTTGTGTATGTTGTATTTTATTCAGGGGTACAGTATCTGAAACGGTAAGGTAATAAAACAGCAGAGGGGATAAGAGTGTGCAACTTTCTTTATTGTTCTTGTTCAAATGATCCTTAGTCGGCACTTTGTCAAACTTGGGTGTGCTCCTCTTGTACAAAGCCTACAGGTACAGTAAGAACCTCATCCAACGTTCACCCCTGTATTAGAGTACGGGTTGTCACGGGTTAGTTAGATAAAATGTGTAGAGTCCACATCTCCATGCTGTAAGTGAGTGAGTAAAAGGACCAGCACACCTGACACACCGCTGACATCTGCATACAGTCACAGGTTAACACAGACAGAGACTGCGGTGATTCTGCCTCTTTGCCATGTATTTTTAAAGCATCTCTTTGACCATTTTGTCTGTTTCTCACTGTGTTTATGGCCCGTTATTTGCAAAATATCCTAAATCCATCGATCAGTGATGAAAACAATGAGGAGTATAAAGTCCGTTAGTCCGCTGAAACAGATAGCCGCGATCCGCAGTTTGATTTCATTCAACGATACATGGATTCACTGCCCCCTATCGTCCAGAAGGTGCCAGAACGAGTGGGATCCGGACGTCACTTTCCTGCGCCACTTGAGATTGTGAATCAGATTGAATTATGAGACACTTTTTGCGGGGCGAGCACGAAAATCATTTCTGAGTTTGCTTTTGCTTTTTAATTTAGTCACAAAATGAGCAGTCTTGAAGAAGAAAATGAAAATGCATTTTGGAATGTTGCTTTTTATTTTTATTTTTGAGTCAAATAGTGCAGCCATGACTTTGAAATGAAAAAGCTATTCTGCTAATGCTTTTGAATTTTCGAATTTGACATTTCAAAGAGAATTTTATTACCTTTTTGCTGGTGAATGTTTTGAAAATTAAATGTTAAATGTGATTTGCTTTTGCTTTTTAATTTAGTCACAAAATGAGCAGTCTTGAAGAAGAAAAAGGAAATTGCATTGATGCATTGCATCAAATAGTGCAGCCATGACTTGGAAAGGAAAAAGTATTTCTGCTAATGCTTTTGAATTTGAGATATGAGTCACAATCGCTTCCATAGTTTTGAGCTTTTCCTTTGTAGAAATAATTCCATTTAAACTAAAATTAATAGACAAAAACACTTAAAATTTGGTCTCCTTTAGTAATACTCAGCAGTCACCAATACAGACACAGTAATAAAGAATTTAAGCCCATATCTATTAAAGTCTTAATAAAGTCAAATACACACAGATTTTTGGAAAAACAGGCAAGTCTGTGTCTCTACAAACCAGCAGTATCAGAGCAGTCTGAGAGTATGTTTACAGATTTGTGCTTTAATTTCATCAATAAGAACAAGAATGCAGAAACTGGACACAGGTGTCTGAAATCATTTTCTGCTTAGTTCTCTTGTTGCAGCAAATCCACATTTAGTCATTTGAGCCTTCCCATTACTGCATGTCTGTGAGGGTCATTTTCAGAGTCTGCTTCACATGTGAGTGTTCAGCAACTAGATACTCAGCACCTTCGGCTGTATCCACTTTGTTTCTATAGAAAATATATAACTCAGGAGGTGGTATTGTGTAGTCAAACAAAAATCTGCTTCCTTTAAAAAAGTAATTGACAATTGATCTGTAAAAATTCAAAAGATCAGTCACAGAAAATACTTTCAGTATATCTACATCTGTGAAATATAACATATCTACATATGAACTGTAATACATCTACATCTATAGTTATGAAATATGGATGAGAACCCTTGAAATAAAAACTAAAAACCTTCCTTTGCATTAATACCCATGTGATGTTTCTTGTGGTTGGTTCCCATTGACTAACATATTTTTAAGATATCAGACCACTGATAAAAATATAAAACACTGCTGAGAATTGTGGGTATCTTTCTGTAGTAAGTAAAAATAAGACTGGGGGGCATCATGTATTTTTTGTATGTTTTTTTTTTGTTTGTTTGTTTGTTTGTTTTTTACATTTACAACAAAAGTTACAAAAAGTTACAATGTTTGGTATCCAAACCACATGTATGCAAAGTTTTAAATCACAAGGTAAGTGTATGCTGTCATAATCTGAGAAAATAGATGTAAATCAAATCTCGGACAAATGCGAAAAAATACGAGGAAGTAGTTTATGTGCCAGATTTACTAAAATTCTGACGCAAGCATTATAGACCCTCCTAACTGGTTCATTTGAGCATCGGGCAAAGCAGAATGGCCTGAGACCAACAGTGTGTAAAGTGATAACCACAGCAGAGCGGAGTAACCACAGACATAATATACACACATATGCGTACATATATGATGCCGATAGGGGTAACGCTGCTCAACTGATCAACCAAAGCCTCTGGAGCATAGCTGTCAAGTATCCAATTGAGGCCTGGAAACTGCCATATTTTACCCCTCTTTCCCGCCGTCTTACCATATTAGTATTCTTCCGTAAATCTCCAGTGTTATAATATATGCACATAAAGAAACATTAGTCTGTCTCTCTAAACAGAACTATGCCACAAGTGCGCACTAAGTACTAGCCAATTAGTAGTAGTGAGTTACCATCTGTGATCACATAGAGGATGAACTAATCTGAGGCTTTTTTTTTTTTTTTTTTTTTTTTTTTCTTTTAACTGAAAATTACGTAAAGCTTTGAAAGAGCAATCAAAGAGGGAGTATAGAGTCTGAAAAAAAATGCATGACACCTCCCCTTTAAATACAGTGTATTAGATCAGGGCAGCGGCATCCTGACAGCAGCAGAATATGATGGAAAGGAGAAGCCTGAACCACAGATACTGACCTCAGCCCCCACAGACAGGAGAGCCTGACCCTCGGCCCAAATTAAATTACCACAAAAACACAATAAATTCAGCTCTGAACCTGAAGGCCTCGCTGGACTTGTGTCTAACTCCACCCTGAAGAACAACGACTCTTTGAGGACTCACAGACCCCTGGATTCACAGCATGGTGGTGACAATACTGCAGGATTTAGCTGCCTGTATAATCTCAGACCACTGCAGGCTCTGCTAATAAGGTGTCCCTGCAGTCCTGCCCAGGGCTCCGGGGTGTGTCAGGTTTATTGTTGTCTGAAAGCAGCACATTATTATAGGGAAGAAAAAACATCTGGTAAATTTGAAGCCAAAGGAACCAACAAAAAGAGAGAGTATCTGACAAGTTTCACTCTTCAAATATCTGGTATGTCACCATGTAAAAGGTATTGGTGGAGAAAAAAAAAAAAAGTACACTGAAAAATGTGCGCTGAGTTTTATGAGAGTCCCAGTTTTATATGTTGATGCTGAAATAAACCCTCTTTTAAAGATGTTTCACTTCAGACCTCTCAAAGTTCAGAGCCTGACTACAGTTTGCTCGTTAAATGGAGCACAACATGAGCACTGACTGAGCAGGGCCCAAAGAGATTTTTCAAGTTTTTTGGTGTAACATGAATCAAAAATTGGAATCTGCTCCCATTCCCTGTAGACAATAATCAGTTATGACTGAACTAATAGCTGTTTTTCTTGGGGCCCATACAAAGCAAGACAAAATATCCAAGATCAAACAACAGGTGAAATAATACACATGACAAAAAGAGATTAAATAAAATGATAAGATTATCATTCATAAGCAATACATAAAAGTAGTTATTCAAAATGGTTAATGATTTGCGTCCTCATAAAAATGCTGTGTAGCCAAGATACACCACAGGTACTGCTTTGTGGTTAAAGCAGTATTTTATTTATTCTTCACCTGCCGCTCGGCCGTGTCTCTCTGTCCTTTTCATCATCAGTACTGTCTGATTTAGCACCTTCTGTTGTCTCTCCCTCACTGCCAGGCCCCTCTTCTTTCTCCTTATTTTATTATTATTATTTTTTTTTAATAATGAGTGAAAGATGGCTTCATTTGTAGAAACAGTGAAACACTTGTGGTGAAATTCTGTCTGTCTTTGGTGAATGATGCGCATATGTGCTGAGCATGTACAAGATGGCTCTGTATCCTAAGAACAGGAGAGAGTGCAGGTAGAGCAGACTGACTAAGCCAGTGAAAAAGAGGGTAACTTTCAACCACAATGTCTAACACAGGGCACTAAAACATATGCACTTGCACAAACATATATATTTCCTACTTTCTTGAGTCTCTTGCCTCATGCAAAATTAAAAACACGATAAATATAGATTAAAAATACATGACATTTAATTGTGATTTATCCAAATGAATCCACAGCAACCCTGGGATTAGCCTGATTATAATGTTTTGTTGTTTAACAGCACTACTCCTTTTAAAGAAAATAACTCCTGACCTTGAGCTAAGACTGACCACGATGTTTTAGTTGGTCAGAAAAAACAAATAAAGGGTCTAACCCAGCAATGCCAAACAGCCAAGCAACCAGACGGTTTGCACTTTTCAAGGTAGATTCACCTTTGAATATAAAAACACTGGTGTAAATATCTGACTGTGTTAAGCTGCCTCCCACTCAGCTGCTTAGCAAACCCCTGTGAAGAAGTGTAATGATCACGCAGCAGTGTCCGACCACCTCTGCATCTGTTTGTCTCGAATAGAAGGCCAGAAAAGAGCACTTACTTAACCCAAGCAGTTCTTTCTGTTAGTGGGAGTTTTCCTGTCCTTTCTGTCTGGCCAGACTGAGAAAAGAGCTCTCCTTTTCTCCATCTCATCTCCCCTTCTATCACCACGGATGCTGAAGAGGAGGCTGCAGCTGCACACACTCACACTCGGTCACTCTCTGTGCAAAGTGACCCGGTGTGGGTTGACCCTGACATTTCCTCTCCTCTAATGTTCTTTAAATGGGCTGAAGGGCAACTGTAGTCTTGTATGGCTCCACAGGCAGCCATTATGAGGCAGAGAGCAGCAGCAGAGGGCAGGCCTAGACATTACCTCTGCAGGTTCCCACATCCTCACCTCACTTTTTTCTCTCAGACACACTCAGGCTTTGAAGATGGCTTCTGTAATGTATGCTATTATGTGGCTCTGATTATCAAGACAGGTAGAGGTGGGAGACTGTCATCATTAGAGGTCCAGACCCCACTGGAGACAAAGAGACCTGTTGGTCATTATAAAGAGGATCTGTTTTCCGCCTGCCCTCTGTTTGGTTGATCTGATGACTTTCTTTACACTGATGCTAGACCTTCTTAATCACAGGTAGAAACCTGTATTTTGCACCACAGACTGCTCTTCAGTTTTAATTTCAGGCTGCTTCATGCTCTAACATTTAACCCTTTGGGCTTCTGCATGTGAATTTTTCTGTTTGAATAGAGCTCTAAACTTGTTTTTTTTCTTTTGGCTGCAAAAAAAGATAACTAAAGATAGGAAAAAAACATGGAGAAGGCGATATCATTGTGTTGACTTTTTGACTGCATGGACGTGTGAAGAGTTTAACGTAACAATGTGAGAGCAAGTTGGGGTGTTGAACAGTGCCCTCAATGATCATTTGTTCATCTGTATTTTATTTTTAATGATGTTTGGCAAAGTGAATTTGTAACTTGTGACACTGAAAAGCCACCTTGGTAGTGGGCGTGTTCAATAAAAAAGCTCTCCTGCACTCAGCTCTCACTGATTGCAGTTTGGTAGAGGGTAGCAGTAATGCAGGTCATTCTTTTCTTTTCCTCTGTTTCAGTTCAGTGCAGATTTTGGGTTCACATTGTGTTCCATCTGTAGGACCATGTTCTGTCAACAATAAATATATAATTAATAATAAATAATTTGTAAGTTACTCTGTAAGTAAAGCCAAAAAAACAGACACGATCCGTATTGAGCGCATTTCATCAGCGTTGTGTCTCTGCTGCATCGAGCAGCACTGTCTATTGCATACAGGATGCGTGTTTAGAGGGTGGCAGCTGGGCTCAGTGTGGTGGAAACAACATGCTTACAACAGGTTGTGTTGCCTTTCTGTGGTCTATTTCCCGCTTACTTGGATATAATTCAGTGACTGTTGAGCATTTACTATATGTGAAAAAGCAACATGAATTTACAGTTTCAGTTTTTGCAGGTTTACTCGTGTTTAATGAAGTAAACTACGTTCCTTTATGCTGTGCCCTTACCTTCAGACAGAGGTAGCAGTTAAAAGTCCTGTTGGGGTCCACATGGATCAGGGATTGACCATCAGTTTGTTCTGTGTTACTGATAAATCCATAACCAGTAAGTATTTCTCATCTACACAAACTGATACACAGTTAGGAGTCCACATATGGTGTTTTATTTTGAACATACCCAGTTTTTGAGCTTGACATCCTGTCTAGAATGATCTTCCTTGTGTAGATTGACACGTGTTCGAAGTGTAGAGCAGCAAAAATAAACTTGGCGTGTATCTTTAGCAGAGCCGCGCTCGACAGGCTTCTGATACGGAGCTGATACGCGTCCTGTATGCGATGCTGCATTGCTCAGAATGGCAACCTATTTGCTGCGTGATATGCAACGCTGACATAACGCGCTCAATATGGATCCTGTATGTTTTAGCCTTAACTAAAGCATCCAACCGCTGCAGGCAAGACACTCGTTCTTCTATAGCAGCGGTTAAAAAACTTTCTCTGTGTTGCCCCACCACCCTAAAAGAAGATTTTCAAAAAGGCCTGTGTATGATTTGGCTTCGCAAACATGTACCACCCCTTTATTTCGGTCATTTCAGTTATGAAATATATAAAACTCCACCTCATCCCCTTCTATGAAACCCATTTTTGTAACATTTATTTCAGAATTACTGCGCTGTGCTTTGAACTGTGTGCTTCTAGAAAAAGTCAATACAAAAACAGAGAAAAGTTTTCAAAAGTTTCACTATTTTGCAACAAAAAACAACCCACGTTAAATTCAAAAAAAAATTCTGTGGCATTTAGCATTGCACCGTGCCTTTTCAAAAGTACATCTCAATTAAAATAACTATTCAAAAGAAATTTTATTCTAAAATTGAACAAAACACACATTGTGAAATTGGTCCCTTGATTGAGACAAAACAACTATTTTTTCAGAAGAGAAAACTTAAGTTGTAAAACTTGTAAAACTTAAGTCATATCAATGCTAGAACAAAACAACCTCCAGTTCGGCTTCAACAAACCACATTTATGTCATATCAGTGTATTATGTAAAGCTTCAAATGTAAAGAACAGCATATCAGAATTTTGTGATGTGAATTTGTTGGGTCTCTTTTCCTCAGCTGACAACACAGAATGATTTACTCACCATTTTCTCCTCACCTCACTGTCACTTGTCTCCACTCTAGTGCCCCCTGACCAATTTAGGAAAACGGATCTGAGCCCGGGAACGGGTCTGACTAGCCTCTTGTTTGTTTTTGGATATTTGTTTGTGTTTTTTTATCCTGTTCTTTCAGCTCTGTGTTTAAATAAACACCACTAAGTGTCGATAGATTTGTGATCTTCACAGAAACAGATTTTAGAGGCCAAGCACACTACCAATCAGATGACCAGTCACCAGAAGGTCCGTCAGTGCATCTTTAATTATTGGAGACATTTTTTTATCCATAAGATGCAGTGTTTTGTTCCTTCAGTCTGTTTCCTGCTGCTGCATAAATGTTTAGTGTAATTCCCTGTGTGGCTCTCGTCACTCTCGATCGTTTAAAACTGCCAGGGGATCAACAGCAACTTTCCACATAATTGTCATTAATCCCACCTCGTCTCGACTCATATCACATCATCTTTTTCCTAAACCCCTTTACATCCATCCATCACACATCCATCCATCCATCCTTCCCTTTGCTCCCTCCATCATAGTGGTGCCAGGGGTCGTGGTAATAAAAGCCAGGAGTCATGGCATAATTATCATTACATACATTCCAATTTAAATGCTAATGGATCCAGTAATTATTGGGTATATTAGACAAAACACACACACACACACACACACACACACACACACACGTACGCTCGCACATACATAAGTATAAAGCCAAGTGTACACACCCATGAATGGATGGACAGCTTCATGGATTCACACTCACACACAGGCGAACACACACTTATTAATAATAAGATGAAATTCCCTAATTATAATGAAGTCTGTGATAGCTAGCTAGCCCTCACAGTCATTAGTGTGAATACATTTCCCTTAGGTAATTACCAACATATTTCAACCCTGTGATTAAAAGATGATTCCTGATTTTTTTCTCTTTTTTTCAGATAATGGGGCTAAAGAAGAGCTTCTCAGAGGATTTGCTCACTTACACTCACTGACACAACTCACAAGGGGGAAAATAACCCTTGTGAACCTCTGCCCCCCCACCCCCCGAGTGTGGGTGTATTTCTATCCGACATGAGAGCACTTGTGGTCATGGACATGCCTGAGAGAGCCTGCAGGGCCTGAAGGAGCTCATCACCAGGCTCACATGAGCTTCAGGCCTCAGATATCTGACGAGGAGGTCGGAGAAGGGGACAATTTTGGTTTTATCCCAGGGTACCACACTTCCATCCATCACACAGAGGAGCCAATCAGAAACCTTGATAAGGGCTCACATTGGAGCTTGAAGGACATGAGACATCGATCAATGTAGTGGAGGAAGTCTGGAGGAATTAGTAAAAGTTTTGCATAAAGAAAATTCACCTCTTCCTTTTTGTGTATGCTGAGGTGTTGATAAAAGGTAAGCATTTTACCAACTCTGAAGAGAGAAACTGCAATTGTGTAAATGACATTAAAACACCAGTTAGTCTGGTGGTAAAATACTACTTCATATAAACTTGCTACCACAGCTTCACAGTGTTACCAACATGGTGATTGACCAAAAACAATTTAATGAATGGCAAAACAAACATTATGATTCCAGTCTCTTTTCTGACACAATACACATAATCTGATCAGTGGTAGAGCTGAATGATATATCCTTAAGCCACGTAAATCAGGAAAGCCAAAGTGGCATTACAAAAAGCATCAGCGGATCATTAAGGTATTTGTGCAAGTCAATATGTGAGAAACACACTGTATAAAAATGGACATAGTAAGGGTGGTATTTGTTTTCCATATTGGAAATGCTTTTGGTCAACCTACCACAGGCAAGCGTTTAGCCTCCTCATAGATCACTACCATGTGCTCACCTGGCAGTCAAGTCAGCCTCTGATTCACTGACCTCTTAATAACTAATAACTAATAAACCAGGCAGTTATCATGTTCATTTCTGCTTATGTGTTTTTTGGGGGGGGCTTACTGTGCATTAGGGGTGGGAATCACCATTGGCCCCATGATACGATATTATCAAGGTACTAAGGCTGCAATACGATATTATTGCAATTTTTAACAAATTGCAATACAGTGAGTATTGCTATACAATATGAATGAAACTTTATTTAACCAGAGAAAAACCTCACTGAGATTAAAAATCTCATTTGCAAGAGTGTCCTGGCCAAGACAGGCAGCAGTATATTTACAGAGCTACGGACATAAACAATTACAGACATAAACAGACATACAGACATAACAACCTGCTAAGTCGAAGTCACAGAGCAGAACATTATTAGTCGAAGCACTTACAGTCTGCTTTATCTTCCTCTAGGGCCTTTAATCTACATTTTAAAAGACTGTAACAGACCAGCCCTCCAGAACACATTTTTTCTTGTAGCAGAGTCCAGCCTGTTGGAGCAGCATATGTAAAACTTTTTTTGCCCATTTTAAGACGAACTTTGGGGACAAATAGCAAAAGTAGATTTTGTGTCTGAGTCGCAGAACGAAGGCTATAGCTTCCAGAACTTTTAACATGAATACAATTACACAAGTATGGTGAAGCAGGCCAAGTACAGCTATGTAAATCAGGATGTGCCAATGGTTCAGTCTATGCATGGCTAGAAAAGGCCACCCAACTTGTTCATACAGAGTAAAATGACGAGTTAAAGCCTTGAGGTTTGTTATGGACCTTACAGCTCCATGATAAACAGTATTCAAAGATTAAGGCTTTGAGCAGATGCATGCATATATAAAACATCACCATAGTCAATCAGAGGCATTAAGTAGCAGCAACAAGACGCTTTTTTGAAGCAAAAGGAAAACAAGACTTATTTCTGAAGTAAAAGCCTAGCCGCAACCTAAGCTTCTTTACAAGCTGCTCAATACGAAGCTTAAAAGACAGAGAGTCATCTTTTACGAACCCAAGATACTTATAAGAAGGTACAGACTCAATCACATCACCCTGAGCTGTAACAATAGATGGCAGGATCTGTGACCTTTATATATTGAGATTTTTTTTTTTTTTTTAACTGTTTAGCTAATTTAGAATTTGTCTTTCCCTGATGTTTGTCTTGTTTATGCTGTATTTTATTTTCATGTAGCACATCTTGTAAACCTTTCATATATTTGTTGCACTAACTTTCTCCTGCTCTGATGATGTCACCTCTGCCAACCTCACCTCTGCCAACCTCACTGGACAAACAGTTGATTTTATTTTCCATTATCATAGATTTGACTTCACATTAGCGATTAATTTGAAAAACTGATACTTGGTAAATGAGGCGATAAAATATATCACCAGACTCAAGATCACGATACTACGCTGTATCAATTTTTTCTCCCACCCCTAATGTGTATGCTGTTTCCAGTGCTTTTTCAGCAGCCTCTTCTGGACACTCAAGGAACTACAGTTTTTAGTGCTTCATTTCCAAAGTTTAAAGGTTGCAGCTTTGTAGGAAAATGTGGAGAATTATACAGTAGTTTCATAATGCCAATCTTTTTTTTTTTCAACAATATCATGTTAGTTTGTAGGACAAGTGGATTTAAGAAGTTGTCAACAAAGTGCAAAGAAGTGTGAAAACTATGAATGCAAGCACAGCTCCAAAGCGTACAGAATTATTAGACTAGCTTGTGAAATTAGGAATTAGAGAAAAACTTTCAACCTCTACAGTTACTATCAAAGGAATAATTTGTAAACACAATAATTTGAGGATAGTACAGAAATTGAACAGATGAGATAGACAGTGATTCACTTACTAAAGTCCTGGAAACCACAGGAAAGCCTTAGTATCAAGCACTGACTTACTGAAAGTAAAGTAAACAATCAACAGAATGTAAAATAACAGCTACAATGAACAAAAGTATGAAAGCACCTATTCCTTTATGATATTCTGATTATGTACTGCTTTGTCTTAAATAAGAACTGCCAATTAAAGAAACAATGCCCACATTTTATGTTATTTTAATTCACAGATTTAAGCTTTGTGAAATTTAAGCTTTTACTTTACTAGTTTTCCCTCCTTCGTTAATCACCCATAAGTTTCGCCTGTGTCTCATCTGCCTCACCCGTTGCTCGTTTAACAAGTGTGTACATAGTTGCTGTCTTCCTCTCTGTCTTCATTGCTTCATTGTGTGCGTATGTATATTGATGTCAGCGTATGCTTGTGTTCTTCCGTTGTCTCCTCATGGTTTTTACCCAGTGCCTTTTTGATTCTTTGGATTAAGCTTCTTGTGTTTTTTTGTTGTTGTTGTTGTTGTTGTTGTTGTTGTTCATTGTTACTTCCTTCTTTACAGGACCAAAAGCCATCAAAGTGTGGCCATGTATATGCAAAACAGGTTCAGCGCTCATCCTTCAAAATGCCTTTAAATGTGTTTGACTGTATTCAATAGTAGGCAGTTTGAAATACAGCCCTATTCTTTTCACCAAAACTGAAGTGTGATATACTGAGTTCTGTGTCTTCTGAAATGCAACAGAAGAACAGGAGGCTTTTCAAACATGTAAAGGATCAGCCTTTTACAGCTTTCTCTGAGGCCAGCTCTGAAGCTGCCTGGTGAGTATTTGTTCTGTTTTTTACAAAAAAAAAAAAAAAATATTATAATAATTGAAAATTTTGAAGTCTGAAATTCCTACCCAGTTCTGACCTCTTGACTATCTCCAATCTTTGATGCTTTAAAAATAAAAAATGAGACAGTTTTTAGAAAAATGAAAAGCTTGATTCTCTTGAAGAAAATACAAAAAGAAAAGAATCGTGTTCTTCAATTTTCCTTTGACTGATGACAACAACCACACATACACACACCCAAACCCACACACAGACACACACAGAACCATACACACACTTACAACAGACAGCAGCCGTAATCATCTCTGGTATGTCCAGGATGAATGGTTGTCGAGGAAACAGGTAGAAATAGAAAAGCTGGAGGAAGAAGAAAGACAGTGGAGTGACCGTTTGTTTCTGATAGAGGATGGTGTGTGTGTGTTAGTGTGTGTGTGTGTGTGTGTGTGTGTGTGTGTGTGTGTGTGTGTGTACGTGTGAGAGAGAGAGAGTCATCTTTGGAGAGCTACCACTACGTTTCCTTGCAGCCCTGAATTGATTGAGAAAATACAGAAAGTGTTTCCAATAACCAGAAAGTCCAAACTGTGGCAAAATATTCCCAAACACGCTCCGCTCTGCACCTTCCAATCATGTGAAACTTTCACATCTCTGCGATCGATGCTCAGCCTGTTCAGGGAAATGCATCAACAGTATGAGCAGCCGGCTTTTCAAGCAGGCATGAAACTCTATGTCTACATATCTGAGTGATATGAACCTGATCCACAGTTTTACTGTTAATTTGCTGCCTGCACTTCCATTGTTATCACAATGGGATGCACAGTGTTTCGTACAGAATACATTCTACAGCTTTATACACTTGCAGCTTTGCAAAGGCAGATCTCTTTTACCCTTAAATCTGTACGTCCTAATGTTACTGTGGTTGTCATGGAAATTTCTTCCTAGAGAGGTACAGAGAATAAAGAGTTATTAATCTTAGAATCAGCTCAATGGGGGACAAAACTGGAGACAGTTGTTTTAGACAGGACTTAAGTTGGCTTTACCAGGGCCTGAGCACCAAGGATGCCGTGATCCCATTGAAGTAGAAATAATATTCTTTATCATTCTTCTTTTACAGCACTACCCCGAACTTTCAATGCCTAAATATAAACTCACATTTATGAAAATGTTTTAGAAAATTCTGGAAATCATACTTTTCAGTATTATTGGAGCAAATTTCCAAGGGTCCCTTAAACATTTGTTACTCTGAGAGTGTATGTCTGATCCAACTTTTACAGCTAGATGATATGTGAACAAAGAAAAGTAACTTAGTTCCTGTGGGCATCTCTGACATACAGTATTTGCTCCAATCTGACACAAAAACATCATCCACATATAAGGCTGTCAGATGTGATGAAGGTGGTGCATCAAATTTCTATTTTAACATGTTGTCTCATAACATTTCCAAATGTCTGAGCTCGACCCTGTATCATCACATCTGCACAACATTCCCTGGGGGGTCCAGGCCTGAACAAATCCAACAAAACAACACAGAACCATCCTCCGGCAACGAGAAGTGACTGCCTTCATGCAACCACTGTGAAATCCTCTCCGGTTTGCCAGTTTCCTCCCCATCCTTCTGGTACATCCTAAGACCTTCCTCTACACCCCAGAAGAGCATAGAATTCTCGGTTGAACAATGTACAGTTGAGGCCAAAATTATTAGCCCCCCTATGAAATATAGTTTTTTTCCAAAATTTCTTAAGTGCTGTTCAACAGATTTATGATTTTTTTTCACAGCTTTTCCAAACATCCTAGTTTTATTTTGGATCCTTACATTATTTTACTTTGCACACAGAAACTCAATTATTTCAGAAAAAACAAAAACTACCAGGGTCAAAATTATTAGCCCCCCTTAAGAACTGAGGTCTTCATTGAGCCAAAACAAAAACCACTGTTGCGCAATCATGTACTTTCACTTTCGAGTGCTCACAGCTTGTAATCAATCAATCAATTCAGTTAAAACAAAGGGTTGTCCTACACTTTACACACAGGGCTCTATTTTCGTGTCCACCAGTGAGGCAGCGGAGGGTGGTACGTGCGCAGTGGTATTTCCGTCTGGCGGAGCCCGGCATACAGCCAGTTTGGTATTTTCTTGAACTGAGGCGTACCGAGGTCCACCAAACTGGGCGTGGTGGCGTGGCAGGGGGAGGTGTCGACAGAATCAGCTGCCGCAGTGACATTTTCGTGCTCGCCGGTGGCGTATAACGTGCGCTGAAAGCTCGCCAATTCCAACCTGGTCAGCCTTTAGCGCAGGCAGAGCGCAGCTGGTCTAGTGGTATTTTGGTAGTATCGGCATACGTCACCGATGCCTCACCGGCAGTTTTCCACAGTGTCAGGCACATTTCAGTGCAATAAATAATCATCAACAACTAATAATCTGAGTCAGCACATACATTTAGATCTATATAGATATATTCTGATCTATATCTTATCTGATGAGCATGTTTGGCACGCGTTTGGACACAAAACCTGACCGAATCAACACAGCTGAAACCGCATTAAATTAAATTTAATATCTAGTAAATAGACACACATGATGAAGTTAACAAGATATGTAATTTGTCTCCCTCCTTTTCTTTCTTCCTCTTCCTCTTATTTCTCACGCAGCACGACCTGGACATGTCTCTGTGTCCTCTCCCCGTCCTGCTGCAGCGGCTGAACAGATGATTCGTTTCAGTGATTAGATGAGTTATTTACTTTTAGCCTACATACGAATATTATAATATTCAGTTTTGTGAGCCAAATTTATTTTATATGCCAACATCTATGAAAGAAAGAGCCATGCCACGGAGCGCGATGCGTCATTTACGCACAGATGGTTCCGGTTTTAATGCCATTTTTAGAATTTATGATGTGATCTCTGCGCACAACCCACCTTTGTCACGTGAGGTTTGAATATGTGCAACTTTATGTGAGTGTCTTTATTTGTGGAAAGGGTGTTTGTCTTACTAGTGGGTCCAACATTACACACACCAAATCCATCTGTGCTCATATGAGAGAGTGTGAAGGAGGCCCTCTGCAGCGACACTTGTTGAGGAGCTGCCTTCTGTCGCCATCGTGTGGCATTACTCTCTTCAGACATCTCTTGATCTCTTTGACTATTTCACGTAAATAGTAATACGCCTCGCCGGTGGCAGATTTAAAGGCGAGGAGAGGAGCTGATGTTATTGGTCAATACAGGTCTCGGCTGTGTTAAACCCACTCCACGCCCTCTCTCCTCTCTCGCTACGATTTACGCTGCTGGGAGGAGCTGAGTTAGGGAGGGGGGATACCGCTCACCAAAATTCCAAATTGTGCTTGGGAAAGCCTTGTCAGCGCAGTGGCACGTCTCCGGCGAGGCACGAAAAAAGAGCCCACAGTATAAAAACCTTGTTACGCATTTGAGCTGTCACTTGAGAAGGCATCATGACAAATACAAAAGAATTCAGTTTAGACTTCAGAAAAAGAATTGTTGATGCTCACAAAGCAGGAGAAGGATATAAAAATTTATCACAGAATTTCCAAGTGTCAAGAAGTGGAGTGAGAAGTGTCATCAAGAAATTCAAGGAGAGCCACACAGTACAGAACAAGTCTGGAAGAGGTAGGAAGCGAAAAATTTCAAGGAAACTGGAAAGAAAACTGGTGGGAGATGTGTCTAAACACCCTAGAACAACTACCAAAACAGTAGTTGCTGACTTAGCCAAGTCAGGAATTGTGGTGTCAAACAAGACAGTCTCTAGAGCCCTAAACAGTAATGGACTGCAAGGATGCAGGCCAAGAAAAACTCCACTTCTACAAAAAAGACACCTCCAAGCCAGACTGAGATATGCTAAGGACAATCTGGAGAAAGATTGTGCATACTGGAGATGTAGACTTTGGTCAGATGAGACCAAACTAGAGCTCTTTGGTCACAGAGACATTGCTTATGTTTGGAAAAAGAAGGGAGAGGCATATAACCCCAAGAACACTGTACCCACAGTTAAACACGGTGGTGGGAGTATCATGGGATGTTTTAGTGCATCTGAAACTGGGAATCTTGTCAAGGTTGAAGGAATAATGAAGAAAAAAGGATATGTGAAGATTTTGAAAGAAAACCTCAAGCAGTCAGCAGCAAAACTGGGTCTGGGTCGTCGCTTTGTCTTCCAACATGACATTGACCCAAAACACACAGCGCTCCTGGTGAGGAACTGCCTCCAGGATACCAAAGTGAACGTTATTGACTTGCCAGCACAAAGCCCTGACTTAAATCCTATTGAAAATCTGTGGGCTGCACTGAAGACCAGGGTCCATGCTAGAAGACCATCAGATCTGGAGGAGCTTGAAAGATTTGCCAAAGAGGAATGGGCTGGGATTCCTCGGGAGATGTACCAGAGCCTTGTTACAAACTACAGCAAACGACTGCATGCTGTTATCCAGCAAAAAGGACACACAATTGACTATTAGCCTCAGGAAGGCTAATAATTTTGACCCTGGTAATTTTTGGTTTTTCTGAAATAATTTTGTTTCTGTGTGCAAAGTAAAATAATGTAAGGATCCCAAATAAAACTAGAATGTTCGGAAAAGCTGTGTCAAAAAATCATTAATGTGTTGAACAGCACTTAGAAAATTTTGGAAAAAACACTGTATATATAAATGTGTGTGTGTGTGTGTGTGTGTGTGTGTGTGTGTGTGTGTGTGTGTGTGTGTGTGTGTGTGTGTGTGTGTGTGCGTGCGTTAGTATTTTGTTATGATATTAGCTATGTAACAAATGGGCTAACATTTGTTTTCTTAGCTAAACAAATCAGAGGAGCCTCTAACATAAAGAGTTCTTAGGACTTATAGATTTCTGGTTTGTCTTTCCATCAGGTCAGTGTAAATGTTTCCTTGCCTGCCCCTGTTTTTTGCTCAGACCAAATAAAATCCTACTTTTACTGGCTTCTGTTGTCCCATTGAGGTAAATCTACACGTTAAATATGTTTCTCTCCTTTTTTGGCATATAATAGGATTAGTACTTGATGTTTGAGAGTGATCTAAATTAAACATGAAAGGTGTGAAATGCCCTGTGTTTGTATTTGTGCGTGTTTGCGTGGCTGTGTCAATTCAGTACAATCATTCATTGAGAAGCTCATTGTCATAAGACTATTCACTTCATTCACTCAGTGTGTATCAAACTCCAACCTCTTCTCCCATCACAAAACACCTTAGCCCCTGCTCTGAGAGGACTGGGAAACCAAAAACCAGTGTGTCCAATAGGTACATAATGTTGCCCCCGCCTGTCTGCTCAATTTGCTCGGCCTCCAGAAGCAACAACTCCCCCAACTGTGACCAAACAATCTTGTTAGTTTTCCCTATATCGTCCTGTCTTACTGTATGTTACAGAGGAAATGACTCCTCGTCTCTGCTGCTGCTGGTTTCTCTAGAAAACGCTGAGTAGAAATGGAATTATTTCTTTTACACACAGTTTAAGCTCAGAGAAAGGAGGAATATAGTTTCATTCCAACAACCTTCAGCTTTAATGGCTGGTTGGTAGGCTGTACTTCGCAAGATTTTTATAAACATAAAATTGGCTTTCAGTCAATAATGTAGGATCAATAAGGATTATGTTTCTGCTGCAGTGAGTCTGGTTATATGCAGACCCGGCGGCATGGGCGGGCATTGGGGGGCTGTGCCCGCCCACCGAGTCAGCTGTGCCTGCCCTGGACTAAAAGCAAAATTTTCTATTAATTTGATTTGGGGTTTGTTTTTTTCTGTGAGAGTAGTCATCATCAGTTAATTCCATCAATCTCGACATGTCAATCATTTCAACCAATCCAATTGATCGAAGGCAACGTGTTAGCCAATTACAGGTAAAGGGGGGCGGGCCATTCACCGAGTTAAAGTTCAAATATTCATAGATTTTGTTCGTCACAAAAGGGCGACTAACACTGATGGGAGCAAGCAGGAAGTAGCGGCAGCGCCACACAGCTCCAGTTTTAGGAATCTAAGCACTGAAGCCAACTGTCACACCGGAGTAAACAATCCTGCTAGCGGAGGGAGCAACAGCAGCTAGGGAACAGCAGGAGCTGCAGCGAGACCCTCCTGCCCGGGAAACGTGAGTGATGACACCAATGTTGTGAATAACAGTAGATTACTGAAGCTTCGCGGAAACATTACAGCCATGAGAAACAGCAGCAAGGCAGCTTCGTTCTGCTCCTGGTACCCCCTAGCTGCTCCACCTCCTCCCCGAGCATGAATGTTTACTCCGGTGTGACTGTTGGCTCGGTGCTTAAGTTCCTAGAACTGGAGCTGTGTGGCCATACCAGCTAACACTCCCATTTTTCCTGGGACTCTTCTGTATTTCAGACTCCCGCCCACTTCCTGTATTGTCATTTCTGCCATGAATCTCCCGTAGTTTGATGGTCCACATTAATTCATGAATCGGATCACATTATTTGTCTTAAATTTCCAGACAACTCAAGATAGTCCTGTGTTTCTGCTGAGTCTCACAGACACTGGATTGATACTTTTACTTTACAGTTTGGGATGATTCAGGTCAGTTTAAGCTGTAAATTATATTTAAGCGGTGTTTGTTACAAAACGAACACTTCAATAAAAGGGAAACAAACATCAGATATAATATTTACGTTGATAGTCTTTTACCGTCTCAGAGTGATGTGTTCAGGGCAGCCTCAGATAAAAGAGTGCTGCACTGATGTTCAGAGAGCCTCATATGGGAGAGCATGTAAAACAATTGAGGACTTTAACACCAATGTTTGTGGACTAAAGAAGTTCAAGGCATATTGTAGCTATCATTTTTTTATTACCATTTGTTATTGTTAAAACAAAAGTGTGCAGCTTCACTTACACTTATTTGTATGAGCTATCTACTTACAAATATTCTCATAATTAGCTCATATCCACCATACAAGGTAACCACAAAACTAACCGGCCCACGCCGCAAACATCTCCTGGATCTTATAACCCAAATGTTGGCAGGTATGTATGTGGTATGAAGTACCCACAGACATTAAAATGCACACATGCACAGGAAAAAAAAAAAAAGTACTGTAATACTTGTTAATAGTTTCCACTAGTAAGAGGTCTGGGGGTCTCAATCTATTACTCTATTTATGGGGGCCTAATTTATGCCCCCAATTCACCACACTGTTTTGCAATCATGATATAGTCTTGCCTTTTCTTTTGGTTTGTTTTTGGGAACCTTTTTTAGTTTTTTTTTTTTACATATTTTTAGATAAATAGTAGATACTTTGATTTACAAACCTGAGGACTGTATTTGACATTTCTGCAGGGTTGTAGCCCTGTGAAATTTTGAAAAGCTGAAGGTGTAATCCCCTACATATACTATATATGAACAATTCATACAGAGTGTAATAAATTTGTTTCACACATAGTAATACAGTGAAGATGCAAATGCTTTTTTAAGTAAAATGGGACCTTAAATTTAATTGTTAGAGGGTTGGGGCCAAGGTTGAAATGATTTTAAATTTTGCCTTGTGGTTTCATGATTCTTTAAAGCTTTTTTTTTTATTATTTTTTTTTTTTAACTAGTCAGGGTGGGATGACTGTAGTAAGCCACTTTACTTTGGATTCTTTAGGTTGGAAACTCAACCCCTTTTTTAGGTTTTGTTTCCTCTAGTTTGGAGAGCGGTAAACTCTTGTATAACATGCTTTCGCGCTGTGCTTTCAAGGAAGTTTTGTTTTGTTTTCTGTAAAAAGCCTGCACTCCCAGAACCCCCCTTTGAAACAAACAGCAATGTTTACACATAATTCATTGCAGCCCACTGAGAGACCCTCCAGTAAAACACACAAAAAGCAGAAAACATTCTTATTCATCTGTATTCTGATTTATGAAAAGAGAAGTGTATTTGGTGCACGTATAATGCATGGTGTTGTGGATTCGTCTTGACCACTTTTTGTCTGACTCCAGTTTCTCTTTGGGCTGCTGGAGGTTGAATCACACATTTTCTGACGCCACGAGCCAGAAGAGTGAGCAATTATCTCTTGTATTACTTTGACTTCACTGGTGCAAATAAATGCAGCCAAACATACGCACCGACTGTGTGACATAGGCACCAAGCACATTTATGAACACAGCCAAGGCTGCAATTACACTTGTCATGGTGAAATTAGTTGTGATTTGTTAGTTAGTCAATTTGCACCTTGATAATATTTCCCAACTCTTAGAAATAATGCAGTGTTGGTCAGGACAAAAGTTGCTATGACTCGATTGTCATTATTACTCAAGTTTACAAAGAAAAACAAGGAAAACACAGTCCAGCCACATGCATCTGCTGGTGGTATTAAAGCCCATAAGTCTGAAGTGATTCACCGGAAGCTAAACCACAAACACAATATTTACAGCAAACGGACATCATTGCCTGGTCATGTGCTCAATGCTGGTCTTCATTTTTTTTGAAGCCCTACATCTTATTATTTTATTGAGTGTGTTTTATGACAATTGCGTTGTTTTTTTTTTTACTTTGGAACCTTACCTTACCTTGGAACCATAAAAAAATCCTTGGAAATTATCTGGGATATCGTAAAAAACATTTCTCTGAAATGCTGGCAATGCATTCCAAAACACTGCAGAACAGTTTATATACAACAAAACTGGTTAGAAACTTCCGCCGTCCAAGTTATAGTTGCAAGTTATAACTTTAGCTGTATCTTAGTTGGTATAAGTAGGAGCATTTTCAGCATAAGAAGCGGGAAGAGTGGTCTGAGTGATACTGGTACATTATTTACCTTTTGTCTTGGTCGGATGGGCAGTGACTCGAGATTAGGAAGGAGGATGAAGAGGTTCTGGTTCTAAAACCATGTACCACGGCACCACTGTGGGTACATTTCAGATTTAAGCCGAACAATAAAGTAGAGCTGGGTAATGTGGAGGAAGGATATGTGGAGGATATGTTAACTTTGCCATTAAAAAAGTGCCGGTCAAGAGCACTAACACAACAAATCTCAAACTACATCTCCAGACCCACTATCCACAGCAATACGCCGAACTTGGACAGTACAGTATAGTGTACAGTACAGTACATAATGTGTATTATTAAATCTCATTGTACTATGAGAGTAGAATATAAAGAAGGGAAAAAATTTCAATATATTCACCCATTGCCATTATTTGTCTGACAAATAATCATCTCCAGAAATTTCTAATCATGACAGCCCTATCTGTTTACATTGTAAAAGTGGTTTGGTAAAGCTGCCCCTCTCTTGAAGGAGCTCATTGGTACAACGTTTGGATGGTTACAATCAGACCAAGTATGAATAAAGAAGAATAAAAAAGTATACGAATGATAAAGAACTGGACATCAGTAAGTGGAAGTGCTAAATCTGCATTTCTGCTTAAGTAGCAGATATTCATAAATGTTGGCACCAAGCTAATCATCAGTGTTAGCTTCATCATTGTGAGAGTATTTTTGGACCACCTCAGGGTGGATTCATCAGTTTAGTTCAATTCACTTAAAACAAATTTGGTTTTGGCAGTCAACTCAGACCTTACAGTGCATTGACAAACAACATTAGAGAAGTACATGTCATGACAACATGACAACAAATAAATAACCAGTACATTGATACAGATGCTCCTGCACATTGCACCCCCATGGCCACACCAAGTAATGACAAGAACAGGCAAGAATCACAGAAAGAGAATAAAAGGAGGAGTTCAATAATATCAAATGAATAAGACATACAAAGGTGCATTGCACATGACAAGAATGCATGAACAAACAAACAGGTTACTCATGGATCACCCCTGACGGGAGGAGCCTGCTGACTCTTGAACTTTGACTTTTATTGACTTCATCACACTTCTTTTTTTTCTTGTGTAGTAATCATGTAGCATTCAAGAAAAACTGATTCACCGTTAGTTTCGTCACATGTTAAGTGTATTTTCAGCCCTCAACCTGTTCATATTTCAGGTTACAAAAAGAAGCAGTTATTGTGTGACCTGACTGGGTCAACAGCTGTCTACACATATCTCTTGCTGGTGCTCTGGTCAGTGCTGTGCTACCCTGCACAATTAGCTGTCAATTAGTAGAAAACATGCACTCACACACTCCACAGGCATACATACACATACTTCCCCCAAGAGGCTGTCTGGGTACAGTGTTATTATCCTCTCTGCACAAAGGTTGCTTCAGAAAAACAAAGAGGAGACAATGGAGGGCTGATAATTACCACAATGAGAACAAGAGGAAGAGTGGAGGATGAGAGTAGAGATGGGAGGGAGGTGGAAATGAAAGAGACGGATGTCAGGGGGAGGTAGGCATTAGTCTGAGCTTGTTAGTGTTACTGTGAGTGTTGGACAGACAGCCAGAGGTTTTGGATCATCAGCTCAGAAAACAGTAAAGAAAATGAGTCCTGGCTAGCAGCCAAATGTTACCGCTGTGCATGGCTGTTCGCCACCACAGCAGCCACTGGCAAAGTGCCCCACAATAATTTCCTCCTCTAAACCCGGTTTGGCAGTTTAAGAGAAATCTGAAGTCTGAGGTAATTTATTTTAACAACAGTGACACTGCGGAGCCTGGTCCTGACAAATATCATGTCAGGAGGCTGCACAATCATCAAGTTTGTTTTTTTCCATCAGATTTCATCAAACTGGATCTCTGTGCTCATTCGGGTGCATCGAACATATCCGCCTGCTAACAACCAAACCATGAGTAAAGCTACCATAAGGAACTTTGTGTTAATTTTGCACGAATGAACTAAATTGCGTGGCAAAGTTGGCTCCGTCTGCAATTGTCCCTTTGGTTTCACGCCTAAACTGTATATAGAATGAACGCCGTCTGCCTCCTCGCTGGGTGAAGCCACTATGAGAACAGCACCCTCTGGTGACAGGCTGCAGTATAGGATATAAATCCTCCAGCAATCCTGATGGAGCTGTGGACAAACTTTAGAAATTAATTACACAGAACATAAATTGTTCTCCCCCTGCTTGCGATGTTGACATGTAGTTACTCTAAGACTGGTTTGTGCTAAAGTCTTCTTTATTCTGTACAGCTCCTTTTTTGAAAGTTATTAGGGGTTTATGTTTTCTATGATTGACACTTGATACAGCCTATGGGCAAACGTGATTGCGTGGCTCACCCGGGGAATACACTGTTTGAGCAGAGCATCATGACTTTTAACACTGGTTTTACTGTTTTATTGTACCTTTTTTTAATGCACTGACTGTAAAGGCACTTTCTAATTTCGTTGTGCTTGTCACAATGACAATAAAATTCTATCTATCTATCTCTCTATCTATCTGTCTATCTAGCTATCTATCTATCACAGCGACTTTCCCGCCAAATGTGTACAATGCTACTGCACAAATGCTAGTTCCAGGAAGTCGAGAACATCCCACAAATATAGAGAGCAATTCGGCATCAAATTCGTATAATGACAGGAGGCGGAACTAAGTTGTCCTTAGTATATACAGTCCATGGTTTCACCCAAAGAAATTGACCAGAATTTGCCATGTTGGCATGTCTCTGTTTGGGAACAACTGATATCAAATATGTTGTAATGTTGATGTGTAACTGCAAAAATGTTGACTTGGATACAAATATATCATCCATCAAAGCAATTAATCAACAAAGAGTATATATATATATATATATATATATATATATATATATATTAAGGGCCATCCCTTTTTGAGTATATAGTTTTACTGGTCTGGTCTCTGATGGTACGAGTTTTACTTCACAGACTGAGCTGTGGACGGAGGTGTCAGCTGAATCACCCCAAACTACCAGAGGACCAAAATCTCCACTCACACACTTTTATTTCTACGATCTCATCTGTCTTGGATCCTCACTGCTCTGAGACTCCTATTCTTGATGGATTGTGGAGATTTATCTTTTTCTTCATAAATGACTACTCTGGCCCACTTTCTCTCAGCCCACCCAGTCTGATTCAACTCTTCATCATTTTCCACTTTCTCCTGTCAGAGGACAGGTCTGTACCAAAGACTGTATATAAGATGGACAGAGTCTGCCTCCTCGCTGGGTGAAGCCACTCCGAGAACAGCACCCTCTGATGGTGGGCTGCAGTACAGGTCATAAATCCTGCCTCCGCCAGCAAAGCTTATGGGACTGTGGACAAACTTTAGAAATTTATTACACAGAACATAATTTTTCTCCCCCCTGGTTGTGATGTTGACATGTAGTTATTGTAAGACTGGTTTGTGCCCAAGTCCTTTTTTTTCTGTACAGCTCCGTTTTTAAAAGTTATTAGGGGGTTCATGTTTTCTATGATTGACACCTGGTACAGCCTATGGGCATTCAGGGATTGCGTAGCTCTCCCGGGGGATACGCTGTTTGAGCCGAGCGTCATCACAGGGACTCTCGGCGACTGCGCGGCCGAATGCGCTCATCACTACTGCGCAGCTCTGGTTTCAAGGAAGTGGAGAAAAACCCGAAATTACCGAGAGCTTTTTGGCTTCAAATCCGTATACAGGCGGAAGGCTGAACCACGTTGTCCATCTTATATACAGTCTATGGTCTGTACTTGTTGCATATAGCTGTTGGTCTAAAGTATGACTGTAGGGAGGAATAATATCTTTTTAAAATCATTTTCACTTTTCATGCATTATTCAATTCTTGAAACAAATTCAAACTGATTCAAACCTTTCTAATTCTTCAAACCTTTCTCATACTTAAGGATTTTTGATCATTTCAACTTTCCACACATTCATATTTTTTTTCACTGTTAAAGAAATCCATCCCAGCCAATGATATCTTTCTAAAAGGTTTTAGATTTACAATTATGCTGTTTGAATTTTAATTTCCTTGAGGGAAGCTTCCCAAAAGGAAAAATGAAGTTGTATCTAATCCAATCCAATCCAATCTAATCTAATCTAATCTATTTGATTTGAACTTCTTGCTTTACAGTTTACATTTTCTCAGGGACAGCCCCCCATAATCGTGGATTGCTAGAGGCCTGTCATTCAGTCTTATATGACAGAAATTGGAGGTCATGGAACAGTGCCTGTGTTTATAATCTTGTTTCTGGATTCATTTTCCAGCACTTTATCTGGAAATACCTATGCATTTTCAAAAGTATTGTTTGTTTTAACTCATTGTTGTATTCTGTACTTGAATTGTGTTATTCACTATGATGTGTTGCTGACTTCTTGGCCAAGTCATTCTTGTAAAAGAGATGCTTGTGTCAATGGGTTTTATCTGGTTAAAAAAAAAGGTTAAATAAAAATAAAAAAGCATGACACCATCATTGATTGGTAATTTTTTTTGTACCTATATGATGTGAGAGACAGTCAGAAGGAATGTAGTAATGAAAACCCCTATTTTTTAAAATTGTTCTGGTTTTAGTTGTCTGAGCTGTCTATACTGTAATATTCCTGCTTTTTGTTTTTAATTTAAACAGGAGGTGCATTAAACCTCTCTTTGGGCATTTCCATCATAAATCTGGATCAGATGAAAATGCAATGAAAGTAAAGTAGATTAAATATCAACAATAATAAGTGAGAAATTAACACCGAGTTCAACACAAAGACAAAAAGTCTACACAAAGGATTTTCATGTGATATTATAGCATCATTTTGGCAGGAGATTGTAAGCCACAAAAGCTAAATACAGATAAAGTTTAAGAGTGAATCTGAACTTTTTGTCTTCTGCTGCGACAAAAACCCAAATGAAATATGATTATGAGAATAAATGAAGTTGGATAGAAGCTGGTTTTGGCCCATCCACTGGCTGGAGCCGAGTGTGGATCTCACGCTGTTCCTCTACATTACAGTGTCGGACTGCAGGGCTTCTGTCTGCTGCTAATCACGTCCATGAAAAATGGCCACATAACCGACTGATAGAGGAGGCAGCGGAGCATGCACACACACACACACACACACACACACACACACACACACACACACACACACACACACACACACACACACACACACTCACACATCAGACATGAGGGTTCTGGTATCACCACTGCCTGCAGACATTCAGTGTGATATCCTGGACATGAGGTATGGCCTCCAGCTCTCTCTCTCTCTCTCTCTTTCCTGTCTCCTACTCCGAGTGTATCACAGTAACAAGCAGCTGAATGTAGCTGACCGAGTGTGTGTTAATATGTGTGTCCAAGTGTGTTCGAAGGTGGTCTCATCTAGAAGAGATTGCCAATGTTTTTCCATCTGGTGCTTGCGACTGCATTCATTACCTGTTCTGATAGAGCAGCTGCATGTACACACAGCCCACACACACCCCATACACACTCTGTCACTTACACTCTACACTCTCTTAACTGAAACAGGGTCAAAGATTCACATTTCAACACAGAAAAAATATTCACTGGATCAAGTTGACTATGAACCAACATGTCAAAATCTGAGGTTAGTGGGGCGCTAGTCTGTGCATCCTGTCCTCCAGCTTACTGGTTTGATTAGGGATGAAGCCGTGTGACATTGGGGGGAGCGTGACTCATTTCTGTGTTGGTGGATGTTATTGACTGCATGCCCTGTGTGTTTGTGTGTTGTTTTCTGTGTTTGTGTGCTGTTTTTCTCTGTCCCTCTCTCTCCCTGCAGGTTTTCTCCACTGCAGTAGGGGTGTGGCAGGTGTGGCTGATCTGCTGATGAGCAGCAGACTATATAAAGGAAGAGAGAACTGTGGTCTCTCTCTCTCTCTCTCTCTCACTCTCACTCTCACTCATTCTCATTCTCATTCCCTCCTGTCAGCGATCCTGTGTGGATCTGGTTGAACGAGTGTGTGACTCTGGTGTGGATCAGTAGTGGCTGGACTGAGCAGGCATAAGGGAGGTTTTCTGTTGTATTGTGTTCCTATTTCCTCGATTACATGTGTAAGTATTGATGTCTGCATGCCAGGTTGACTAACCTTTACTATGCATTAACAGCTTCCTCAGGTGAGTTAGGGGAGTGTCTTGCTGGGCTGTATCAGTCTGTCCAACAGGTGCTCATTTATTGTTTTGCCTTTTTTATTTTTGGAGCAATCCTGGATGGAGATTTAAATCTCCAAAGGGGGCTAGCGTTTCAGGGTTTTGATCATGTGTTGCCTGTAAGTTGCCTCGAGCCTAGCCCGCTCCAGAAGATAGGTAGGTAGAGTTCAATTAGGCAGGTTCTGAGGAGGTTTGTTTTTTGTAAGGTTAGATTGTGCTCAATTTGTTTGGTGTGGCATCTGATGTTAATCTTATGTGATCCCATAGTGGTAGCTTTGATTTGCCTTGCTTAGTGTTGCTAGGCTATTTTTGGTTATGCTGCATTTCTTGTTTTTTCTCTTTTACAATGGAAGCTTTTGATGTGACTGTGTTTGTATCGAATCCAAAGTTGACACAGTTTGACTAATGTAAAAAGAGTGATTTGTGTGAGATTGCAGAGTATCATTGTATTCCTGTGTGCAGTTCTCTTGTTAAAGCTGAGTTGAAGGCTGTTCTTTTGGAGAGCTTAATGACTAAAGGTGTCTTTGGTTTACCTGCAATAGGTGACACAGGGTTAGCAGCTGTGTCCTCTGCCGAGAAACGCTCTGATCCTCCATTGGAGGAGGTGAGTGAGCCTCCTGTTGGTTTGACTCTTGTGTACAAAGTGGCAGGGCTGAGGAAAAGCCATTAACTTTGCCGCTATTTTTCCTTTCTCAGCTGAGTCAAAGCCTGGCTCTAAGCTTGATGCCTGGTTGAAGGTACGGTTAGCTTGTCTTCAAATGGAGAAAAAAGAACGGGATCGAGAGTTTCAGCTCCGTAGAGAGCTCGAAATTGAAAAGCTGGAAGCAGAAACTGTGATTAAATTGCGTCAGTTAGAGTAGCAGGCTGGTTCAGTGTGTTCTGTTGCCACTTCTGCGCCCTCATCTGGTTCTGCTGCTGCTTTTGATGTGAGTAGACACAGTTTATTGGTTCCTGTCTTTCGTGAGTCTGCGGTAGAATCCTACTTTGGCACATTTGAGCATATTGCTGCTGCTTTGTATTGGCTTAATGATGTGTGGGCTATCCTCTGCGGTGTAAATTAACAGGTAAGGCTCAAGAGGCTTGTGCTAGCTTGTCAATGGAGGATGGTATAAACTATGTTAAGGTGAAGAGTGCTATCCTGCGAGCTCATGTACTGGTGCAAGAGGCATATAGACAGCGTTTTTGCAGTCTTAGGAAACCGCCAAATCAGACTTATATTGGCTTTGCCAGAGAGAAGGGTATTCTGTTTGATCGATGGTGTGCGGCATGTAAGACTTCAGATTTTGACTCACTGAGCGAGTTAATGTTGATAGAGGAGTTTAAGAACTGTGTGCCCAACCATCTTGCTGTTTATTCAAATGAACATAAAGTTTTCACTCCGCAGCAGGCTGCTATCCTCGCTGATGAGTTTAGACTCACACACAAAAACCTGTTTGTCGCTCGTTTTTTTGTTTGTCCTCTCCCTGTGACGCATAAGAGAGCACTGATGCAAAGGTGCGTACATCTGCTGCATCAGGTCCAAAGGGTAGAAGGGCCTTATTCTTGTGCCATAAGTCTGACTATTAGCTGGGCAGATAACTGTAATAATCGTTCACTTGCGGATAAAAGCACCAAAATTGGCACACATACTCCTTAGGAGTTACTCTTTTGATATTTCCGTCTGGCCAAATGAAAATTCAAGATGGCGGCCATTTTTCAAGATGGCCACCATTGAAAATACAGTAATATTGCATTTTGCAATAAAATCCCATAGACTTGTCCTATTTGGATGAACTTGGTGTCAAATCATACATTTCCCACTATGCAGAATCCAAATTTGGATCCATGGACTTACTTTCTGGCTTCCTTGTACCATATTTCAGTCCTGGAATCCTAATATTCTGATCCTAATTAGGTCTACATCATGTGATACTCGAGTAAAATGGTTGGTAGCCTATATCTTAGTGTGGTTAGAGGTCTAGTTCGTGTGTGTGTGTCACATATCAGTCCCAGAATCCTAATATTCTGATAATTTAGAATTTCACCTAAAATGCATGGTAGCACCATGGGATCACTTTTTGTCTGGTCTCTATCCTTCGAGCTGTTTGGCGTGGGTGACCCTGCCAGGAGTACAATACTCCAGCCGGCATAGCTCTAGGGGTCATGGAGACACACAAAGTGCCCCACCACGATAAGGTGGTGATCCTACCGAGGCAGGGTTTTTTTTTTTTTTTTTACATGTAGGCTTTTTGGATGAGTAGGCTTTTACTACAGCATTTCTAAACCTCACACCTGCAGCTGCACAATGCTGTGCAGGTCAGACCAAAGCAGTAGCATTTGCATC